TGGTGCTCTGGTTATCTTCAGCAGAAAGACAAGGACAAGTTTTAAGCATCCATTTCTTAGCCCGATTCTTCAAAATCCTGATTCCAAACTGTAAAGCAGCCCAAGGCACTCCCTCTATCTTTAACCCCAACCCTCTTGAAAACTGCTTCAGCTTCCATTGGTTATTTCACAGGTAACTTGCCTCCAGAGCCACTCAGGGGCAAACGTACTCCAACCGAAAGACTGCATGTGCTAGACATCTGAATCTTGTCTGCCCTCCCCAAACAATACACATGCCTTGAAAAAGCCTATGAGGATATGTGCGTAGATTCTAAGCAAACACTATGCCACTTTACATAAAATTTGGGCACCCTCAGATTTGTTCCTGCAAAGATACCAAGGATTGAGTGCTAACAAATAAGGAAGCACCCCCTAGTTTGTTTCCTGTCAATATAACAGGACAGAAAAACAAGCATAGAGGTTCAAAGCCAAAACCAGATTTTCCATACACCAAGGCAAAGGAACAGTCCCAGCATTTATGGGTCTCTTCTCTATACATGCACCCTACTACCACTACCCCAGTCTCCCTCATCACCTCAGGGTGCAGGCAATGGACAGGCAGCTCCAGGGAGGCCATGGCTGCTCTGCAATCCTCCTACCTATCCAGCCAGGGTGAGGAATTAGGCCAGCAGGGAAGGGAACAGAGGCCCCAGCCATGGATTCCCATTTCCCACCAGGTACTAGCTACAGCCAGTCACCAGCTATGACACAAGACTCTTAACAGCTCCAGTTCTACACACAATTCTAGTTTATTATGGTAAAGGTGAAAATACCACCTTCTCCACAACAGCAACCAGTAAAATTTATCCCAAAAATAACTCGGTACAAAACAGGTCTGTTTCAGAATTTAAAAAAAAAAAAAAAAAAAAGAAAGAAAGCCTTTACATGAGTTTTTAGATCCTATTCTCAAACAGGAAAAAAAAAAAAAGAAACGAAAAACAAATCCGCCATTGTCTCCACAGTCCAGTTGCCAACCCTCCCTCCAGGGATCGTGGACGAGGCTTCTGGGTCCTGTTACTTGTGTGGATTTGCTTGACTGCTTAACTGGTGTCCATCTGGAAGCAAGGGAGAAGGTTCATTAAGGAAGGGCCCTTGCTTATTCCTACTGGCTTCAGAGTTACCACACACAGGCTGCCACTCAACCCCAGTCTCTGGGCCCAAAGACTCACCCTTGCATTATATGCATCCAGCTGCGCATCCAACTCCTCCGCAGAAAGCTGCTGCTGCTTTGAGTTTCTTCCGGTACCTCTACCTCTTCCACGGCTGCCTCCACGGGTCCCTCTCCGGGTGCCACCACCACCAAAACTTCCAGAGCCACGGTTTCTTGTCATGCCACCTCTGTTTATGCTAACAAAGAAAAAACAGAAGAGTGGTCTATCTGCAAAGGCTGTGTGGTGACACTATCACAAAGCCTCTCCCCATCCTCAAAGGCCCTAGAACTTACCTCTGTGCAGGTCTTCTTTGCGTATCGATTTGTGATGTGACTAGCTGGATGTTCATGGGACGGCCTATGGTAAAGAATGAATACAAGAAGTCTCACTCCAGAGGCTCTGAAGCTGACCCAGAGGACACCACACCCTGGTCTCCATGCAAGCTCTGGAAAGGGCCTTTGTGTCTCTCCAAGTCTCTCCAGTGCCCCCAACAAGTTACATGGCCTAGAGAGCCTGGTGGGAAGATAAAGTGGCAATAATACCCCACCAACACCTCCTCAGTCCTTCTCAGTTCAGGCTAAAAGGGCTGTTTGGTCAGGTGTCCAGGGTGCTCATGGGTGGACAGGTGTGGGTAACCTGACGGAAGAAGAACAGGTACCTTTGTCTTTAGACTACAGCCCCGCACTCAGGTTGTACTATGGCGGTTCTGAGAAGGCTTCACAGAAGTGAATCTTCCGGAAGGAGCTGAAGGAGGGGAGGGATGTAGCTTGCTGGATGGGGGTTCACAAGAGGTTGGTCCAGATGTGTGGGGCAGCATGAGAGGTGGCAGAATGGAAGAGAGAGACAAAGGGGCCAATGCACAGTGTCCTCAGCCACGGGCAGCCCATATTCCTACAGGGACAGGTGCCAGCCCACACTCCGTAGCCCACAGGCACCCTGGGCCCAGCCCCACAGACTCACCATCCAAGGGGACACCGTTGTACTGTTTCATGGCCTTTAGGGCGTCTGCCTTGCGTTCAAAGTGCACATCTGCTGTCCCTAAACTTCGTCCAGAGCGGTCGTAGTGCACAGCTGCCTTCTTCAGCGTTCCAAACTCAGCGAAGAGCTCCTGGGAAGTGAAAGAAAGGCAGTTAGCAGAGCTGCTTTCCCTCCAGACGCCCAGTAACACCTACTGTCTGCGAGGGGTCGTGGGTGCTTTGGAGGTTCTTTACTGGCTGCCACCCAGGAAGGGGGCAGGGCAGTGGCAATCAAGGTGAGGGAAGGAGAGAGCACAGGGTCCCTGTCCACTCTGGGACGGTGTGACTACCAAGAGGCAGGTGAAGGAAGCACACAGCCTGACAGAGAAACTCTCTCAGCAAGAGTACTCACAACCTGACTAACAGCAGAGGCCAAGGCAAAAACGAAGGGAAGTTGTTCATACAGCGACAGCTCAAAGGGCCCACTGACTCGGGGAGCTGGGACCCGGCCCCTCCCCCAAAGGCAGGCTCTGGCTCACCTTTCCCTCTCCTCCTACTCAAGCCTGCTGCAAAGTCTGAAGTCAAATGCGCCATGGGAACTGCCCTGACCTCAGGCAAGCTGGGAGTTGGAGAGGGAAGCCAGGGTGTGGGGCTACTTCGGCTGCAGGCACACAGCGGGAAGTGCAGTTCACCAAAAGCGGTTTCCAGTGGAGGCCAGAAACCACCTTGAAAAAAGTGTTGAGACACTGTGAGTGCTCACTGGCCTTGCTCTACCCTCCCGTGGCAAAGCCACATGGAAAAGGAACCCAGAAAGGCCCGGCACCCACGACCCAAAACTAATTGCTAAAAACCTGCTTTGTAACTCCAAAGGCCTTTGCGACCAGAAGACAGGGAGAGAGAGGATGGGGGGGAGGAAGGGAAGGAGAAGAGGGGAGGGAGTGAGGGGAGGAGAGAGCAAAGGAAAAAAAAAGACTTCAACCAACCAAGGCTACGAGAACAATGCCCCCATAAGACCCAGGAAAGGTCTGTCAGTCTGGAAGACAGAGCCACCACGCACCTCTGTGCCGTCAGACAGACATCTCTCTGGGGGAGGCTCTCCTCCTCCTGAGCTCACAGCCCACAGCAGGCACCCTCGCTCACACAGGGGCCGGGACTTGTGGGCAGGGCAGACCGTGCCCGTTAGGAACGGCCAGTTCTGGCAGCGGCAGGCGCCCCTTCCTGATGGTCAGCGGACAGGAGTCACCTCCGGGGCACACCGGGCCACCGTCCCGGGGCCAGCCCTGGCTCGGGGTCGGCCGGGGTTCTGGAGTGGGGTGAGGATGCGGGCGGACGCAAGGAAGAAAGGACGGACGGACGGCTCGAGCCTCCTACCTGAATATCGGCGTCTGACACCCCGAAGTCAAGGTTTGACACCAGCAGCTTTCCTCCCGTCTCCACGCCGGCTCCACCCCCGAAGCCGCTGTCGAACAGATCGTGCTGCCACTTGTCTGGAAGCTGCTTCGGCTGAAGGGAAAACCGTAAGGACGGGGAAGGCTCGTGAGCTCCGTTCCTTTCGCCCCGGGCGCGCTCGGCACCTCACCGGCGCGCTCTCCCTCCTCCCCCCCGCACACCCTCGGCCGCCGCCGCCGCCGCCATGAGGCCGGCGCACGGCGGGACAAAGCGTCCCGGAAGATGCCGGCCTCGGGCCGGGGCTCCCCGCGCGGCCTGGCCCCCGCCCACCCCGGTGCCCGGCCCCCGCAGGCTCCCGCAGGCCGGGCTGCGCACGCCGGCTCCCGGCCCGGCCCGATCCGATCCGATCCCCCGGCCCCGGGCCCCGCAGTCCACTCACCCTGCTGTACGGTGCCGGCCGGTTCCTGCCGCCGCCTGCAGCGCCGCGAGAGATGGCGGGCCGGTTCCTCAGAGGCCCGCCGCCTCGGTTCACCCGCGCGGCGGCGGCCTGCACCGCACCGCCGCGGCCGCCCTGGGAGCCGGCCCTGCCGCGGCCCCGGCCTCCGCCGCGGCCGCCTCGCTGGCTCCGGTTCAGCTTAATGATGTCGTCCAGGGACATGTCCATTTTGTCGGCCATGGCGGGCGCGGAATCGGGCCTCGGATCGAGCCCGCGCGTCAGCACGTCCCTGCGTCACGTCCGGCGCTTCCCCGGGAGTTCCGGCGTCGCGGCCCCGGGAGCCGCCGCTGATTGGCCTCGGGGCGCGCGGGGAGCTGCGGGCGCGTGCGCACTGCGCTCGGGGACGGGTGAGCGGGGAGCGGCTGGCGCTGGTTGTGAGGCGCCCGGCGCGGCACGGTCGTTTTTATACCTTCCCGCGCGGAGGCAACGGAAGGGCGGGGCGCCTCGTGATTAGGTGGGAAGGTGCGAGGGCGAGGCGTGGGCGGGGCCTGCAGTCCACTCCCGCCCGGGCCGGGAGACGTGGGGTTTGCCTCCAGCTCGCTCGCGTTCGGTGGGTGCATTGGGTGCGGTGCGGTGGGGCGCGGTGGCGGGGGTGGGGTGGGGTGGGGTGGGGTGGGGGACTCCTGATTTGGGGTTTTCACGCTTTCATTCTCATGCACTGGTTATTAATGACAACCGAGGTGTTTTTCGTGGATGCAGAGGGTTTTTTTTTTGTTGTTGTTGTTTTGTTTTCTTTTTCTTTTTTCTTTTTTTTTTGTTTCGGGCTGATCTGGAACCCAGCTAGATCCTTCTGGCTCTGCCTCCCCAGTGCTGGGATCAAAGGCGTGAGCCACCACCTCCTGGGTGCAGATCTCTAAAGACATCCTAAACGTGAAGCGCATCTCCCTTGAAGCGCCCAGCAACTGTCGAGCTCACGTGCTGTAGTAGTACCACAGACTTAACTTTAGCCAGGTCATCCTCTTCGCTCAGGTCACAGGCTCCTCCTGCCATGAAGGTGAAAATTAAGTGCTGGAATGGTGTGGCCACTTGGCTTTGGGTAGCCAATGATGAGAACTGTGGCATCTGCAGGATGGCGTTTAATGGCTGCTGTCCAGACTGTAAGTCCCCCTCTGTGCTCTACCAGCCTCGAAAACTGGGTTTCCCAGTACTAAGGAGGCAGAGGCAGGAGGATCTGGGAGATTGAGTTCAGCCTGGTCTACAGTTCAAGTTCCAGGACAGCCAGCGCTATGCAGAGAAACCAAAAACTGTAGGTTTTAGTTTCCATATCCTGAAGGAAAGTTGACAAAAAATAAACAGAATAATTTTTCAAACCCATTTTTGCATAAAGACCCTATCCAGCATGGTGGCAAACACCTGTAATGTCAGCATTTGGGAATAGGAACAGGTGCATCTCTGAGTTGGGGATTACATAATGAGAGCCTGTTTGCAAAAACAGAAAGAAAAGCAAACAAAAACACTTTGTTGTCGTTTTGTTTTTCCAGACAGTGTTTCTCTGTGGCTTTGGTAGCTGCCCTGGAACTAGCTCTGGTAGACCAGGCTGGCCTGGAACTCACAGAGATCTGCCTGCCCAGCACATTGAAGTTAAGATAACGGTTTCCATATTGTCATATCTGCTAGGCTTTTGTGCTTGAGTGTTGTTAACTTTAAATTGATGCTTATGAGCAGTGAGTACACTTTAGCCCTGTGTCTCGTTCCGGCATGTTTCCCCAAATGTATTGTTATTGGGGTTTGAGCCATGCTCAACCTCTCACTACTCTTAGCTCTTGCTCTAAATACTTCTTACTCTTCTTTTGTTTTCAAGGCATTTGAGAGTCATGATCTTAATGTTTTGTAGAATGCAAAAAAATCTTAACAATTTCAGTATTCTTTGTCCCTAATATGTTATGTGAAGTTGAAATGTTTGATTACACTGAGATGAAAGGCAAGCTGATTCTGTTTGTTTTGAGACAGGATATCATTATACATAATCCTGACTAGCTTGAAACTCACTCTGTAGATCAGGCTGGGCTGGAACCCAAAGAGATATGCCTGCCTGCCTCTGTCTCCAGAGTGCTGGGATTAAGGGTGGCTTCCACCATGATCTCCCAGCCTCATTTACCTGCCTAGAGTTAATTATCTTAGTGTAATCAGAGAGTTGTGAGTTGTCTCTCTTTTTTTTGCTTTTTGAGACAGGGCTTCTCTGTAGTTTTAGATCCTGTCCTGGATCTCACTCTGTAGATCAGGCTGGGCTTGAACTCAAGAGATATGCCTGCCTGCCTCTGTCTCCAGAGTGCTGGGATTAAGGGTGGGTTTCACCATGATCTCCCAGCCTCTTTTACCAGCCAAGAGTTAATTATCTTAATGTAATCAGAGTTGTGAGTTGTCTCTTTTTTTGCTTTTTGAGACAGGGCTTCTCTGTAGTTTTAGATCCTGTCCTGGATCTCACTCTGTAGATTAGGCTGGGCTTGAACTCAAGAGATATGCCTGTCTGCCTCTGTCTCCAGAGTGCTGGGATTAAAGGTATCTACCACCATGATCTCCCAGACCATTGTCCAAGGAGTTGTGAGTTTCTTAGAAAGTCATTGATATTTGTGGTTTAAGTTTAAGTTCTGTTATATTTGTGATTAGTAACTAAGCACAGAGTTCTAGTTTTTGTTTATTTTGACCAGAACAAATGTAGATTTTTGCTGGATTTTTTTTTTTTTTTTTTTTGTTTTTTTGTTTTGTTTGAGACATGATTTCTTTATGTAGTTCAGGCTATCCTGGAAATATCTCTGTAGACCAGGCTGGACTCAAGCTCACAGAGGTCTGCCTGCCTTTGCTTCTAAGTGCTGGGATTAAAGGTGAGTGCCACCACTTCCTGTCACAAATGTAATAGATTTATTAAGGAAAAATGAGAAGGAACTCCATAAAAGTGTGAAGGTTGAAGGTAAGGAACACTCTTAATCAGTCAATTAACTTCTCATTTAATGGTACTAGGGATTGAACACAGGGCCTGTGCAGCCCATTTTAAGTTTCGTTTTGAGACAGATCTTACTGAGTTGACCAGTGTGGCCTCAGGCTCACTCTGTCTTGGACTTTCCGTTCTCCTTGACTTGTAGAACAGCTAGCATTACAGGCTAGCCCAATAGTTCATTGCTTTAAAATCACTCTTACGGCTGTGTATGGTGGCTCTAAGGAGGCAGAGCAGATCTGTGTTTCCAGGCATGCCTGGTCCATGTGAGAGTTCTGTGCTGGTTAGACCTACATAGACACACACCAGGAAAAAACAAAATCCCAACCTCATCAACAAAATCACCCTTAAGAAAGCTCCTGCCACACCATAGAAGCTGCTCTTGCAATGGCGGGCAGGCGTAGAGCCTTCACTAGTCTGCCGAGCTCAGAGAATCCCCACCTAGGCTTAGAAACCTTTCCTTCCATTTTGTTTTGCTGACTGCTGTTGGGTCTTTTATCCCAGCTTTCTGGGCTGCAAGTGGCTGTTGTTATTACATGGACTCAGATTGCCTCAAGTTTGGCGTCTTTTACCACACCTGGACCAAGGAATCTAGAGCCACAAAGAGTAAGGAGTCAGAGGCCAAGGGCTTGCTTATAGCTCCTGTAACATAGACTGCTAACTTTTAAAAACTTCCAGGGAGTTTTGCAGCAACTCCCACCTTCAGGCAAAGGGTGGACATTGAATATGTAGATCGAAGGTGGCCACTGTCCCCAGAGCTACCCATTCTTACCTGGACATAAATGACCTACACATGGGGCTGCAGAACACAGTCTGGATTACCCCAGCTAAGTCTGTGACAAAAGGGATGACCAGAGAGCATGACTGGACTTGCCATGTAGTATTCTCATATGTGAGAGGTACACTCAAGTTTTCTTAAAACAGGGCCTGTGGGTTACACAGAGTGGGAGACTTAGTCTAGCTCATAGATTGCTCAGATGGGAGGGAGTTGGCTTTAATATGCCAAGTGTGTGATAGGTCCAAGGTGTTTTCTTGATAGATTCTGTAAGCACAAGGTTTTTCACAGATTAAACTCTTGTGAAAATTAAATTACCAAGGCCTGTAATAAATCTGTTTCAGGTCCCAAGGGGCTTTAAGGTAAAGTAGTCTTGTCAAGAGGTATTTTAATTAAGAAAATAATTTCACCAGGGCACTAACAAACCCTCCACGAGTCATTCACAGTGCACTGGCATACCCGACAATACTCAGGCTTGCTGCCTGTGGGGACATCTCGAGAAGGAGGCAGCACCCCCTCCCTCCACATGACTGCCCACAAATGAGCCAGTTCAGTGATCCCCGCCAGTGAGCTAGTTGGGTTCAAGTATAATTGGAAAAGGGCGATTTCAAACAGAGTTCTGCTGAAGTTAGGAGCCGGCAGTGGTGCGCATGGAGGCAGAGGTCAGCCAGGGCTACCCTGTCCTGAAAAACAAAACAGAGGTAAAAAACAAAACAAAACTAAGGAAGGAAAGAAGGAAGACTTGTAGGGCTGAGCACATGTGTGACAAACGTAGGGCTGGTACCCAGGATGGATTGGGTGCAGCCTCTTTGCACCAGGCTGATGCTGATGTGGGATAGGAAGTAAAGGTGTCCCTGCCCTCTCCTTTCTTGTAGGGTTTCCAGGCCAAGGGAGTCAGGAATGCTTGTCTGTCTGTCTGCTTGGTTTTGAACAGTCTCATGTCCCTTGTGTGCGAGGTTGGCTTCAGAACCCTTATGTAGCTGAGTGTGGCCTTGAATTCCTTTTTGGTCCTGATCCCATCGCACAGTGCTGGGATTTCCCAGTTATCAATGCAGGGCTGTGTGCACGCTAGGCAAGCCATTCTGCCAATGGAGCTATATCCCAGCCCTCCCCTTTTTTTGTTTTTTCATTGTACTTAAAAACAAGGAGATTTATCTGTTTTTATTGTGTGTGTATTTGGCCTGAATGCCCTTCTGTATTTACTACATGCATGCAGTGTCAGTGGGGACCAGAAGGGGGTGTGGCTCCCCTGGAACTGGAGTTACAGGTGGCCTTGTGGAAGCTAGGAACTGGATCTGGGTCCTGGGCAAGATCAGCAAGTGCTCTAACTGCTGAGCCATCTTTATAGCCCCCAATTAGTTTATCATGAAATGGGCCTTGTCCGCTTCTGGCTGGGCTTTCTCCATGGAGGAAGCATTTCCAGACTTGCAGAGTGGGTGCCTGCAGCCTTTGCTCCTTGATTTGGATGGAGGTAGGAGAGTCGAGGAATCGGGTGAGAAAGGGAAGGTCACACGTGCTGATAATGAGTCCCATCAGTAGGTATGGCATGGACACCAGGGCCCTTCAGTGCAGTAGATTTCTGGTGTTCAGGGAGAGAGCTATTCAGGTTCTGAGATGAAGACAGAGAGTTCCCTGCTCGGCTGCGCTGTGAGACCACTTCAAGGTTACCTTCTGGGTGTGAGGCTGACCCCCCTCTCTGAGAGCACTTTACTTGGTGGTGCGGGAGTAGCTGCATCTTGTTTGCAGGGGGCCATACCTGGGGACCATTGGGGTCACATCCCTACTTCTTGTCTCCTCTGGTGTAGGAGGGTTAGGGTTAGAGCCGTTGCGATGTCCTAGAGGTGCCTGCTTGGCTTGTCACATGCTCCTCTCCTGCGTGTTGTCTGGGCCTTTCCCTCCGCCATGTCCCGTGCTCTCTTGCTTGCCTCTCGTCTGCCCCTCCCTCCCCCTGACGTCCGTGGCCCCTCTGCCCTCTTGCAGGTAAGGTGCCTGGCGACGACTGCCCGCTGGTGTGGGGACAGTGTTCCCACTGCTTCCACATGCACTGCATCCTCAAGTGGCTGAACGCGCAGCAGGTGCAGCAGCACTGCCCCATGTGTCGCCAAGAGTGGAAGTTCAAAGAGTGAGGGCCCTGCAGCCAGCGGCGCCCCGTCCCCGTCCCCCTCTCCCCGCACTGCAGGCTCAGCCCCTCCCCTTCGCCCAAGGGCGTACTGAGACCCCACCTGTTCTGTGTGGGGACAGGGATGCTTTCCTTTGGGCAGAAACAAGCTTCACTTGGTTTTCGTTTTGCTTTGTTTTGTTTCTTCCGTTGCGTCATTGACACTTTTATTCAATAAGAAAAACTCATTAAAGTTCCGAGCCTTGCTGGAGGCTGCTGGTTGCCAGTTTTCGTAACATATTGATATAGCAGCAGCATGTTTTGGTATGAAAACGCTTATGAATAAACGTCGTGATGAAATTATTGCTGAGGCTTCATGATAACCTGAGTCACAACTCAGGAAAAGTAGAAGAGACTAAGGCAGGGGAAAGCTGGGCAGAGACCTTAGGGTACGTTTATGCCTGTCAGCTGCCATAACCTGGTAAGAGCCCCAGGCTCTCTCTCCAGCCCCAGCCCCAGTTGAGCAAAGGTGGCAACCACCTTGAGCTGTTATGGTTGGAGGAAGATAGCTAAGCAGGCACTGATCATGTCCAGATGATCTTTGGAGACCACTGCAGGACGCTGTTCAGAGTCCCTTGCCTCTCTGAGACTGAGGCCAGATTTAGTGTAGGAGGATGTGGGTCCTCTGGTGTCTTAAGGATGGACAGGCCTTTATTTTCCACAACTGGGGATCATCAACCTTTAGGGTAACAACAGCCCGGCCCTAGAGTGTCTGGAAGCTCCTGGTTGGAAACCAGTTTAGGCTGGAATCTGAGAGTCCTGCTCAGTTCATCACATACTTTCACAGGCTCAGTGACGATTGCCAGTGTGAACACTTGGCACACCACATGCCTACAGCTTGGAGAGTTGACCGGTGACGAGGGCAGGGCTCCATGTGATCTGGCTGAGACTTGCTGTCCACTCCGTGTGTTGCTCTTTAGATACTTTCACTTGACCACTTGGTTATCTGTAGCATGCTGGTCCTGGGACTGGCCTCAGTTACCAGGAGCAGAGGTGGGGTGTAACTCAGCCTCTGGATACCCGGAGCTGCAGAGAGGAGCCAGGATTTGTGGTTTTGGAGCTCCTTGGGCTGACAGGTATGGTCCACCTTGGCTAGTTTTTTCTGTCCCCAGTGTCCTCCATGCCTTAACTAGGAACATTCTGGGTCATCCTCCCTGAAGCTGAGGTCCCAGGCTCACCTCAGTGTCCTCCATGTCTACAAGTCTGGGTTCCTTAGCACTTTGGTCTTTCTGATCTATTATCTCCGGTTCAGTTGATCCTGTCCTCAGGGTTAACTCCACCCATCTCACACCCCCAGTTTCTGTAGAGACCAGAAGGCTAACTAACCCTGGGCATACACCCTCCCTGCAAATGAAGTCCCCGGCCTCTCCTTTTTTCTTCTCCATTGTTCCTCTACCTGCTTCTGAAAGGTCAGGGCAGCTGATAGAATCCCATCACTGCATTGTGTTCTCCCTGAACCCCTTTCCCAGGCTGAAACAGAAGTTCCAGTAGGAAGCTTATGCTGTTGACCCAGGTAGGCCTTCTCTGATGCACCTGTACCTGCCCTGCCTGGCCAGGGACTATGTCCTGTTCATGTTGTGACCCCACACATAACACATGTCTTACACATTACTGTCCTGTGTCCAGCATTTGAACCATTGCTCGATAACTACAGAAGTGCTAAGTGGACAGCGGGCCCTGGGGCCACACCCCCTGGGGCAGAGTGGACAGAGCAGGCCCTAGGGCCACACCCCCTGGGGCAGAGTGGACAGAGCAGGACCTGGGGCAGAGTGGACAGAGCAGGACCTGGGGCAGAGTGGACAGAGCAGGACCTGGGGCAGAGTGGACAGAGCAGGACCTGGGGCAGAGTGGACAGAGCAGGACCTGGGGTCTGGATTTGTCTGCTCAGGTTTTTCTGAAGGTTGGAACATGAGCTTGACGCTTCTCATAGAGGACAAGTCCAGTAACCTTCCACTGTAAGCATGAAACAAAACAGCCCAGCCTGGCATTTGTGAAGATAGCATAAGTCATTTTTCCTAAGTTCAAGGCCCACAGAGTGAGAACCTATTGTTGAGACGGGCACATGACCAGAAAAAGAATAAGCGAGGTGGTCCCTGGGCTGGCTGGTTTTATGTTAACTTGACATAAGCTAAAGTCATCTGAGAGACGGGAGCCTCAGCTGAGAAAAACGTCTCCATAGATTAGGCTGTGGGCCATTTTCTTTCTTTGTTTTATTATATACAGTTTCTATTTTATGTGTGTGAATGTTTTACCTGCAAGCATGTCTTCACCATATGCATCCCCCCCCCCCCCCAGTGCCTGCTGAAGCCAGAAGACAGATACCCTGGAAGGCAGAGTTACAGAAAGTTGTGAGCCGCCATGTGGGTGCAGGGAATTGAATCTGGATCCTCTGGAAGAGCAGCCAGTGCTCTTTAAGCAATGAGCCATCTCTCTTGCCTAGAAAAAAAATTTTTCCCCTGAGACAGGGTTTCTATGTAACAGTCCTGGCTGTCCTGGAACTCACTTTGTAGACAAGGCTGGTCTCGAACTCAGAGATTCACTGCCTCCTGAGTGCTGAGATTAAAGGTGTGCACCATCACACCTGGTGGAAACTTTTAGTGATTGATTAGGGAGTGCCTAGCCCATTGTGGGTGGTCCTGGGTTATTTGAGAGAGCTGGTGAAGGAAGCCATGAGGACTGGCCTCTGCTTCAGCTCTTGATTCCAGGCTTCCAGAGTTCCTGTCTTGGCTTTTCGGGATATGCAAACCAAATGAAACCTTTTCCTCCTGAAGTTGCTTTTGGTTACGATGTTTCATTACAGCGTTAGTAATCCTAAAACATTCCCACATCCCACCCTTGGACGTTGATACCTCTGGCCAATAAGACCTGAACCTAAGAAAGAGGGCAGGTCCACGTCAGAAGGGAGAGATTGGCCCTCTGCCCATCCATGACACAAATTTCAGGCCTGGCAAGGTGTAGGAGATCCAGCTGATCATCACCCACAGCCTGTGTCCCTGTTGCTCCCCACCCCTCCCGCCGCCTCTGTCCCCGTCCCCGCCCCCCCCCCCAAAAGCCCAGCCTGGTTCACAGCCTTCAGCTCCGATCCCTCTGCTCCTGCTGCACAGCTCCATGGCCCAGTGTGGGAAGCTGGCGGTCGCCGCCCTGGCGCTAATCTTGCTGCTCCTGTCGCCAGCCCTTGCATGGTACAAGCCTGCGGCCGGACCCCACCACTACTCGGTGGGCTGCGCCTCGGGGCTACCGTCCAGCTTCCACAGGTTCCCGTCTACACGACGTTCCCTGTCGGAACAGGACCCCTACGCTTGGAGATGTGATGCACTCCAGCCTAAGGAGCCTTGTGAGTGCAAGCGGGTGGCGGGTGGTGGGAGCTGGTGGGGTAGGGATGGGCCCTCAGCCTCCACTGCCCCCTCCGGCCCTGTGTGTCAAAGACCCCGAACCTGCAGAGCTGCCAGTGGCAATTCAACAGACCAGGGACTTTCCAGTCCTTGTCGCTGCGGGAGGCAGAATGCCAGTGGCCTGAGCCCTGAACCCCAACACAGACCTCGAGTGGCTGTGGTGGGTGACCCCCCACACCCAATCCTGCCTGAAGCTGTGCAGGCCCTGTCATGTGAGTTGGCACTTGTTTCCCTAACCCCTACCATGCTCCACAGCAAATAGCTAAATGAATAAAGCAAACCCGTGGCTGCTGAGGGTGGCTGGAGAAGGTAAAGTACAGACACCGACAGACCCAGCTAGCCTCGTCACTGGTTTCCCAACAGCATCCCCTTCTCTGGCCAGGCTGGGCCTCAACCCATCTCCCAGAGTCTGCAGAGGTAACCCCTACTTAGGCAGCAGGCATTGGGCATAGATAGTTCCCTCAGAGGATCTTCAGGCCCTCCATCCTGTCCCTCAAGTCTCCAAGGTCATAGATTCTCCCTACTGTCCCCAACCCTTTGAAGCCCCTCCCAGAGACCCCGAAGTACTAAGCATATAGCTGTGTGTTCAGCAAAGCAGAGAGGACAAGGAGTGAGTGAGGTATGCAAGCCATAGTCCTCAGACCCGCCACAAAGCTGGATATAAGCTTTCTGGCCTCCTCACAGCTCCCCTAAACCCCAACTGCCCTGTGTCCTGCCGGGTCTAACCTCGCACATTCTGGCCGCTGGGTCACTAAGCCAAGTGGGCTGCTGACTTAGCTCTGCCCACAGCTGCTTCTAAACACCAGGTGCCATCTTCAGGACCTGAGCCCTGGTCTGCCAGGCCCTGAGCTGGCTATGAGGCATCTTTCTCTTCATGGTCTCATCAGCCACACCTCACCCAGGTTCCAAGGGCGGCACATAGCATGCCTGTCTATGCAGTGTTCTCTGGGGACCAGCTCCTGGTTCTCGGAAGCAACACACTCAGGTGGCACCATCAGCCTCCCACTGCCCCATTCCTAGTAGGCAGCAGGAAGGTGTGTGCACCTCCTCCAGATCCAGACTCTAGGTCTGAAACATCCATGAAGGCTCTCCTGCCTGGGGTGGGGGGCAGGTCTCCCTGCTTCCGCAGCTGGGATAGCTAAGTATCACCAGCACCCTTGCTTGGGAGGAACCAGGCTTCACCATTCCTGTCAGTTGCTTATCATTGAGGCTGTAGGAGCCTCAGCGGCTGCTGGACTCCATGTAGACCTCTGCCAGGGCAAGTACACAAGCCACCCAGCTTCCTGGCCTGGGCTTTCTCCCTTCTCTGAAAGAATTCTCGCTGTGGGCGCATTCCCTGCTTCTTCCCGGGGCTCAGAGCCCACAGAGCACTTCCCACCAGGCTTTATTCAGTTGCGCCACTGAGGTACAAAGAGGACCAGGAAGTCTGCAGAGAACAGTCGAGCTGGCCCAGCCACAGGGGCAAGTGCTTCTTCCAGGAATCAGGAATGGGGTGCTAGAACGTGCCCCAAAGTCGAGGGTGCCCACTTGCAGGGTGGCCCAGGACAGGAGGTCCCCAAAGTTACCCCTCTGAACCTTTCGCCAAAGCTGGGTGGGCAGAAATGCAGCTTCCCGTCAGGCAGGAGGGGCCCCAGCCAAGACGGGGGCAGTGGCAGTTGGAACTGTGGATGCTAAGGACACATAGCAATACTCCTCCAGTCACAGGTGTCCTCTGCTTATCCTATCCCCTGGGCTACTTCACTGTGTGAGCCACCCTCTCTGGGCAGCTCCATGGAAAGGACAGAGAGCCTGTTGCCCGGCGGGCAGTGCCTCACAGGCAGGCAGAACAGCACCCTCCAGCAAGGCAGCTTCCTCTGGAATCATGTGAGCTGACACCAAGACACAAGCAGAGCAGGGCAGGAAGAGAAGAGGTGGGCACAGGGCAAGGGCGTGAGTGACACCCTCCAGGTCAGGAGCTGGGCCGTCTCCCCTGGTGAGTGACACCCTCCAGGTCAGGAGCTAGGCCGTCTCCCCTGCAGGCTGTGCCTCCTGCTGCCTCATGGCCTCCAGAAAGGCCAATTCCTTGGCTTCCTTCTTCTGATTCCGTGCTTCATACTCCAACCTGGGGCCAGACAGGTATAAACTGGGCCTCTTCAATCCTGGGAGTTACCCACTGCCCACCCACTCAGGTGGGAGGGGCACACCCACTGCCCCGCCTGCGGTGGGAGGGGACACACCTGTTCTTGATGATCCTTTGTACAATCAGGTCTGTAGTGAGGTCACTGCCACTGTCGATCTGCCGGAAGATTCCTCTCCTCTTGGGCTCCTGAAGGCCTCAATGCAAACAGGAGAGGAAGATGGGAACCCCCTGACTACAAAGACACCTCCAGGTGCCCCTCCACCCCTGAGAGACCAATGCCAGCAAGAATGGTTGTTCCTACTTAGGCCTGGGCAACCCACCTGGTAGGGGTCAGAGCCATCTCTGTCAGGTACAATTTCTGTCTTCCCATGACATACAAGGTCCACCTGGGGAGAGGGGTCAGGAGGCTTCCTCAGAGAAGCTGTGTCACGCCTCACAACCACCTAGGGCTAGCCTAGGAAAACTGGCCCTGGCTGACCCAGGCAGGAGCCTCGACATCATGTTCTGCTCAGCCAGGGGGAAGTCTCACCTTGAAGTGACCCAGGAGCTCTGCTGTGACAGAGTACGGCGCTCCAATCACCACTTCTGAAACATACTGCAGAGACACAGCCAGTAAAGCAACTTAGTCCTCATTTCTGGCAAGCCAGGGCCAGAGAGTGGCAGAGAAGGCCCCGGGGGAGCCAGCTGGGACAGGGCAACATAGCAGGGGCCAGTGGGCAAAAGGAATCTGCAGGCTCCTCAGTAGGGAAAGAAACTGTACCAATAGGGCCCCGGCCACCCTCCACCCTCTCACTGGGCAGGTGGATGCCCCTGCCCTGGCTCCCAGACCACTCACCCGGCAAGCCAGCACGCTCAGAGTCCGCTCATGCAGGTTCATGATGGGGTAGTTCTTGCCCTTGTATCGGTTTACTTCCTAGGGCCAGGAGTTTGGCTCAGCTAATGAATGGTGCCCTCCCTCCCAGCTGGCCTTCCTGGGCAGAAGCTGGGAGAGGTACCCTCTCACAGGAATACCCTAGGCAGGGTTGTTCTGGACTCCAGAAGACTACAGCACTTGCCTTCACTAGACACCAAGAGCCCCACTCCTTCAGAGGCTCCCTGTGCCCAAAACTGAACCCAGCGAGGCCCCTTGAGGGATCCCATCCCACAGCCCATCAGCTAACGGGGTGCTGAGAAGCAAGCAAGCAAGCAAGCAGAAAGGCAGAGACCTGGTCAAAGTGTAGGCCGGCGATGATGTAGGGCCTCTTGGCTAGCTTGTGCACCTCCTCTAGGAAGTCCACGTGCCCGATGTCTACATCCGGGTTAAGCAGCAGTAACCAGCTGTGAATGATGGTGTTTCCCTGTAAGTCCAGTACTTGCAAGGAGGAGGCAGGAGTATTGCAAGTTCTATACCAGCCTGGACTACAGAGGAAAAGTGTCTCAAAAAAGCAAGGCCTGGGGTTGTAGCTCAGCAGTAGATACAGCCCAGGGTTCCATCCCAATCTTGGGGGTGGTGATGGCAGAGGAGGCAGCAGTAATGGGCTAGGCTAGAAAGGGAGGGGTTCTGTCCCATCCTCTGTCCTCAACAGCGGGTACCCAAGGGACTCCTTGCCATTTTCCCTGATGAGGTCAGTGCTCCCTACAACCTAGCTCAACCCTGGAGCCTTGGAGTCTATGGGTTCCCGCCCTGTGGCATAAATGTGGGCAGCAGAGTCCCTAAAAGGATACGGAACAGGTCAAAGGCACCGGCCACGTAGATGACTGTCTCTCCAGGCTGGGGCTCCTTCCCAGAAGCAAACTGGATGATCTTCTGGGATGTCTGTAGAAACTGGGACACCCCTGTCCAGGGGTTCTGCCCCCCAGGGCACTATTAGCCAAGAGAAGGAACCAGTCAGTGGTAGAGGCCTGTGTGTACCCCTTACCCAGCACCCTCCCCAGGGCCACTCTTGGGAGCCCAGGGCTCCCTGTGCCCGTCATACGTGTGGGTGATGGGTGCATGTGCAAAGAGCATTGGAGGCTGGACTCCCCCACAACCCCAGCCTGCAAATAACCCAGCAGCACAGTTGGGGGCTATGTCCAGGCAGGTACTTGGGGCAAGGGCAGGGACACACCATGGTAAGGCCAAGTAGGACCACTGTAGCTAGCAGGACTGTGGCTCCACCCGGTGGCCACAGAAGATACTGCAGTCAACGCCAGCTCTGCCTGGCTACACTCCACCAGGAGCAGGCGCAGAGCCCAGTGGCCGGCAGACACCGCCCTCTGAGGGACCCGGCACCCTGAGGCCACCATCTGGTCACCTGGGAGGAGACTTCTGAGGAAAGTGTGTCCCCGGCAGGTGTCGGGTGAGGGGGCTACAAAGGGAGAGAGGGCCAGGCCATTTGGTTAGATGCCACCTGTAGGTGGGCAGTCCTTGCTCCTCCTCCAAGAAGTGGCTACTGGGACTGGCCACCTCTTGCCTGTCCTCCCTCCCAGCATCCACTAGCTGGCCAAGCCTGGCGGTCAGTACCTGGTCAGCACTGGGAAAGAGAGGGAGGAGGGCACAGTAAAGCTCTGGCTCAACCTTTCCCCATGGGAAGGAAGCCTAAGGTGGGTGGGTGGGTGGGGAGTGCTGCATGTGGCTAGTTACATGTCATCTGTATTTCCAGAGTGGCCTCTGCAGCCAGGCTGTACTCACCTTGCCAAAACTGTCAGCATATTCCCGATACTCGGAGGACATCTCCTGCACACAAGGGCAAGAGGCTAAGGGGCCTTGCTCTGACTGCTAGCCTGGGACCAGCACTACACAGCCCCAGAGCTCCATGACAAGATGGTCAGGGAGAGAAACAGGACAGACCCAAGGGTGGTTAGTAGGTGCCCCCCCTCCCCCGTTGTGTCCTCAACCCAGGGACTATTTCCCAGACCCCATGCCTCTGGACTCACCTGGCTGCTGTGGTGGGCCTTGGTCACCAGCAACATTCGACCCACGAGGTCTGTGGTGGACACACCCTGGGTGCGTTTACACTCTCTGGGGCAGAGGTAAGGTGGAGGTTTTCATCCAGAGTACACTCCTGAGGCTCTGCTACAGGCGGAACCCACCTGAGGGACATGGCCCTAACCCAGTCCCCCCCCCCCAGAACCAGACTGGGGCAATGAGCTCCATCAGTGACAGAGGCAGAGGGCTCGTTCGACTGTACAGTGTAGCGCCAGGGAGTACGCAGGCCACATTTAGGATACAGCAGCTCTGGTTCCCACGATGACATTGTACGCTCTGGTCTCTTGTACCCAGGGCCCTACACCCTGCTATACATTCTCTGCTGAGAGAATCCCAGGCTGCTCTGTCCCCGGGCCACAGTTGGCTCTTTACATTACAGTTAGTTAAAATAAAAAGCTAGTTCTCCAGGGGCTCCAGTGATGCTGCTTAATCTGTGGGTGCCCTACCAACAGTGCTGATCAGATGGTATCTGTGCAAAGCTCTGCCTGGCAGTACTGCCCAGAAGCCCAGGACTGGCCACGCAAAGGTCGCCCACAAGCACTCCTTCCTGCATTTTCAGCCCCACGTCAGGCCCAAAGGCCTTGCAGGCTATGTCAAAGCAGCAATGAGAGCTAGGAAGGGGCCCACTCGGATACCATGGGACCTACCTGTACCTCCCAGCCTGCTTCACTTCCTCGTAGGTATCCCGGCCATCCACTGTCAACGTGATGTCATCTGGGGGTGACAGGATTTGTTTTTGTTTTGTTTAGAGAGGGATGCTCTTGCTATGTAGCCCAGGCTGACCTGGAACTTGTTTTTCCAGACAGGGTTTGTCTGTGCAGCTCTCACTGTTCTGGGACTTGCTTTGTAGACCAAGCAACTTAGAGACCCGCCTACCTCTGCCTCCCAACTGCTGGGATTAAAGACTTGCACCACTATCACCCAGCTGACCTGGAATGTTTAATGCCCCTGCCTCAGCCTCCCTAGTACTAGGGTGATATGTATGAAGCATCACCCTGGGCTCATAAGCAAGGCTTCTTAACTCAGAGCACCCGTGGGACCAGAACTACCCCTTTTATCTGTGCCATTGCGATGGGGATGCACGCAGAGCTTTCTTATATCTGCATGCGATGAGGAGCCCTCTATCTTTGAGATGCTATCAGCCATCAACCGGTCTGACTGAGCCCAGCCCCCACCCCAAGCCCTGCCCACTCACTGCCATGAACACAGAAGTCACAGTTGTACTTGTCCAGTGTTTCCAGTGTGGTGACGTAGGGAGCAGCGGGCACCACCTCATCCACCCACTTGATGGCCTGTACCATCTTGTACCTCTCCTCCTGGGTAAACACTGGGGGCCCCTTATGCTTGGCGATCTCCTCTAGGGACAGAGAAAAAGGACAAAACAAGACAAATGATGGGCAGCTCCGAAGCCCAGTCCTTAGGAGCCTCGGCCACAAAGCTGATCAGGGAAAGGGAATACCCTCAAAAGTGCACAGGTGTGCAGTGGTCCGTGTCTCCTGCCTTAGCCCGAGGCAGGGCCCCAGGTAAAGCGCATGTGTGCTCAGGGCATCTGCTGGTTAACTAGGTCAGCCTCTTCTGGTCTCAGGAACCAGGGTAGGGTGGACAATACAGCTGAGGACACTGTCTGGTGTGGCTTTCTCTATTGGGGACCAGGCTGGCTTACTTACTAAACTGGGTTCATGCCTGTGCACTGGGCAAGGATGCAGGGATCCCCCTGCCACCCCCCACCTTTGCTTGGTCCATTGGAGTAGGTCCCAGGCACAGCAGCCCACACCTTACCGTCAGTGTGCACACCCACGATGAGGTGGTCCCCCATGGCACGTGCCTGGCGCAGCTGATTGGAGTGACCATAATGTACCATGTCGTAGCTGTGAGGACAGACAGGGCAGTTAGGTCCTGTACTGATCTCCACAGAAAACTGGGTACCTCATTCAGGACACAGCTTTACTCCTTTGGAGGCCCTCTGGGGGCTACTAAACCAAGCCCCTAGGTGTTGGGCTTCCAGAGGGGAAGCGGGTTCTCAGTTGTCCACACCCTAGATACTGGACTTAGGGCAGGACTCAGTCAGTGCCAGGTCTAGCAACAGTGGCAAATTCAGGGATGGGGCCTGGTAAGATCCAGAGAGCTGGTGAGTTCCCAAGACAAGACAGTCGTCCACTGGTAGATGTGTAACTGTTTCAAGCTGTTTCTTCTGCCTTTTGTTTGTTTTTCTTTTGTTTTTTTTGATACAGGGTTTCTCTGTGTAACAGCTCTGGCTGTCTGTAGACCAGGCTGGCCCAGAAGTCACAGACAGAGATCCACCTGCCTCTGGCTCCTGAGTGCTGGGATTAAAGGTATGCTCTGTTCTTTTTTTTTTCCCCCCCTGGAAGATAAGATCTCATGTAGCCCAGACTTTCCTCAAACTCACCATGTAACCAAGAATGACCTTGAACTCCTGACCCTCCTGACTGAGAATCACCACCAGAACCCTTCTCTTTGGATGCTAGGAAGTAAGTGCAGGAGTTTGTACATACCAGGCAAGCATCCTACCAACTGAGCCACATCCCCAACCCACAAAATACAAGACTTTGTCCAGGATTTGAACATGGGACTCTTCCAACCTAAACAAGAATCATATCCCCAGGTCAACGAGCCACACTCAAGCAAGCTTTGAAACAAGATAACTGCCCTGAGTTAGGGGCAGACTCCATTCCACCCGAGATAATCTGGCAGTCGGTCCCCCACCCCCATCCACATGGTCTGGCTTAGCTCTCTGAGAAAACAAGAGCCATCACCTGCTCCTGGAGCTTTTATCCTCAAGTCTAGGTCCGGCCATGACTACACTGTCAAGGTCAAGGCTACCCAGAACCCAGCAACATGCTGGGCACTGAGGGTTTACCAGTGTGCACTGGGGCCACCTGTATTAATTCTCCATGGGCCAGCTCTAGGCCACTGCCTTTGCTCAGCTTCCTCCACAACTCTAGTGGAGTGTCATCAGGTGACTTGAGCAGCCCTGCACCATAGCACAGAGTAGAGGCAAGTAAACACAACCCTGATAGGCTCAGGCGCCACGGGTCAGCAGCCCTTGTGCCCACTAAACAGGCAGGGCAAGATCAGAGGTCGGAGTCTGCATCTGGCATTATGGCACAGTATTGTGGGTGGGCCAAGGTCATAGTCCACTGACACGAAGTCAAAGCCACTGCTGGCAGGAGGCTGAAGTTGTAGCTCAGTGATGGAGCACTGGCTTAGCATGTTCAAGGCTATGGATCGCATCCTCGGGACCACCAAACCAAAAACAAACGCGAAATGCACAAAAGTTCAGCCTTCTGTCCCTGACCCCAGAACCCCCACCCCCACCCCGGGCAGCCCTAGTGACCATTCCGCATCCACCAGGGGTAGGTAGGCACGACGGAGGGCGGAGGGCGGTAAACTGTAGAAAGGCCAACATCTCTGCTGCTTGTTGACAGTTCCGCGACTTTCTTAGAGCAGCGTCAGGGGCGGGCTTGCCGGAGAAGCCCATGGCCTTCCAGCCCCGGTGACCTGGGTAATGAATGGCTACCGCGGACCCACGGCCGCGTTTCCGGTTTTCCGGGCGTCTGCAGACCGCACTCCTAAGTGACCGGAGGCCGGAGAGCCTCGTGCGGCCTCGGAAGACTCGGGATCCGCCAACGGCCGGTGCGTGACCCCGAGGTGACCGCCCGCCCCTCGCCGCCGCCACACTCACCAGCCATCGCACCACACCCGCACGGCGCGCTGGCCCACCGGGCCCCTCCGCCCGGCCGCGCCGGCCTCCCCGTGCCCGTTACGGATCATGGCACCGCAGGCCCCGTGAAACCGGGTAGCTCCCGCGACTCGCAGCCCTCGGCCCCGCCCCCGACGCTCGCGCGTGCTCACGCGGGCCTCACCCCGCCTGCCGCGGCCAATGGCTAGCGTTATCCCAGGCCCCGCCCCCGGCTGGCCCCACCTCTCCGCCCGACATGCGAGGCCAAAGATCTGTGTGGAAGGTCCTAGCCCGAGCAGGTGACAGACACCTCGGTGTCCTGTAGGTGTCCCTGCTGGCCCAGTGTCCAAAGGGAGAAGCAGGCTTGTACCGCAACGGCTCGCCCCAGTGCCTTGAGCTTTCCCGGGACTGGGTTACTTGTTGGTTTTTTGGAGACAGGTTGGTTTGAGACAGCTCTGGATGTCGTGCAATTTGCTTTGTAGACCAGGCTGGTCTACAACTCACGGAAATCTGCCTGTCTACCAAGTGATGGTATGGAAGGCAAGCACCCCCCCCCCACACACACACACACACACACTCACCCACCCCGGGCGTAGCCGGCCCTTAACACGTTTTCAGATACTCTGCGGTGCAGGCAGCAGTCATCGGGACACCAAGACAGGAGAGAGATGTTTTAATAATAAGACTTGCTCAGACTGGAGGCTTAGATCCGCCCCTGTGCCGCATACCCAACACAGAAAAAGGTTTTATAAAGTGAACGCTTTTAGTAATAAGTAGTAGAAATAGGGAGGCCCTGAGACTAGCCTGGAGAGTGAGGTAAGGCAGTGGTGGGCTCCTCTGCTGGCCAGGCCGGGAAAGAGCTGTTTTCACAAAGGCCTTACTGCCTTTGTACAAAGGGGAATGGGAGGAGGTGTCCTTGAAAGTTGAGCCCATATTGGGGCAGTCACAACAGTGCAAGAGAGGCTTCCCACAAGGACAAATGGCTAAGGAACATCACCGTGAAATGCCACCCCCGAGAGTTCTTCCCACTAGGTCCTGTGGGGGCACTGTAGCCTTCACGGTGACATAGGCCCCTGAACAAGCGTCAACATCATCTGCAAAGTGCTGGCCAGTCGCTCTTTGTCAACACCTGGCTATGCTGCTTTCTTCCTTTTTGCACGCTTCGCGCACCCCCTGCCAAACCAGCCTCCTAGGATGGGGGGCGCTGGGCTAAGTGGTGCATTCTGGTCCCCAGGGGGGGCGGCTTCTCTGCTTCTGCTCAGTGACTTCCTACTGTGGCTGCCTTCTTCACCAGGGCGGAGGGGAGTGGCCAGGGAGAAAATGGGGTCTTGCCACCTAATAGGAAGAAGAGCAGCATCAGGCAGGTCTGAGCCTTTCAGCCACAACCCTCCCAGGCGTGGGGAAGCTGCCTGAGGCCAGCTGTCATCCTAACCCTTCCCGCTGTCTTAATGGTGGTTGGGTTCACTAGGAGCAGCTTCAGTGCCACCCAGCTATAGAAGAGCTGCAGGGGACAGTCTCTTGGGTGGGCTCTTTAGTGTCCCATCCATCGTCTGTGGGCTCGGCACACACAGGAAGGGTAGTACTAAGCTGCAGGATGGCTCCATCTCCAAGGATAAGATGCTAGCAACTCTGGGCCCCACCTTTCATTTGTATGGATGAGGGCAGGTGGACCAGACCCTTTCCCCAGTCCAGACTGCATGACGGGGATGGGAGGGAAGAGGCCAGTTGACTAGGGAGGCATGGCCTACAGACTACACCATGAAGAAATCATGTATCTGATTGAGATGCAGAACCACATATTATAAACGTAAGATACAGATAAGCACCGATTTGAAAAATGAGCTAAGTTAATGTCAAAAAAAACAACAACAACAAAAACCAACAATAACAAAAAACAGTACAGCACAGGATAGGCCCACGTCACAGAACACCACAAACATAACATACAAGAATTGCCAGGCCCAGAGGTGAAGGGATCCTGAATTTCTTGAACCCTTTGATTAAAAGAAGTTATTGATTTCCCCTATAAGACCCTGAAAATTCACAGAGAAAGAAAGTGTAAACTTTTCACTCAATATACACACCATGTCTAAATTATCACAAATTCTCACGGCAATTTGATTAAGCTTCCCCAAATATCCCAGAACCAAGGACAGATTCTGTCTGACCAGACTGCAGTCCTTATCCCTCACAGTTGTCCACCCAGGCTGCAAGAGCTCTGTGGGGAAGCATCCTATAAAACACGCTGGCAGACCCCCCTCTCCTCACAGAGGTGATGGCCACCACACCGGTCAGGGCAGAAGAATGTGCACGTGTGTGGAGCCTTGCCCCAGCCGGTCCCTCGGGAGGCTCAACAGAAGACAGACATAGCCCATCACACAGGAGGGCAGAAATGGGGCCACGCTGTGCTACTCACCGGCTGTACACAGGGATCTCCAGGCCTAGCTCATCCATGAGGAGCTGCATCACGTCATCACATTTCCCATGAAGCTTCAGTGCGGCCCAGTCATCCTTCGGGGTCCACTGAAGACAAGAAAGGCAGATGACACCCTTTGCCTGTCCCCTGCAGGCTGGGCCAGCCGTCTCCAGGAACGTGGACCTGTGCAAGACTTCCCGGACGCACAAGTGTGGCACACCCCCAGGTATGAGGAAGAAGGCGTAAGCACCCACGTTACCTGCAGGTTCACAATGTAGAGTTTGGGCCGCCGGCTTGGAGGCTTCGTCATGCACCAGAGGCGGGGGTACTTCTTCAGTACCTGCAGGGTTGGGCAGACACAACACGGGAGGAAGAACATGAACACAGAAAATCTAACGCCCACTGATAACAGTTCTGGGCAGGCAGGACTGTAACATGCTCAACCCATGGTGCATTCACTGCACTGTCAACACGCACCTTCAAGCTGGACCCTAAACACAGGATTGTGTCTGCTTTGCTAGCAGCCTCGGTCGCTGCCTCCCAGTTCAGAGGCTGCCCTAATGTCCCCCTCTCCCCAAAGTGCACAATGGTATCCCGGAGCTGAGTCCCACACTTATGGCAGGTCCGGCCAGTCTGGTGCCGGTGAAGGGCAGTGCGCTCCGTCACGTCAAACACTCGTACGTACTCCCTGTTAGGGATGCAGGAGGTGCAGACCTGAGGATGACAGAGCACAGTGAGTGAGCCGTGCCTGTCACCCAGGCCCCACGCCCCTCTGCTACTGCTCACTTCAATATACATATTCCCATGGAGCTCCGAGATGGCGGTTCGTGGAAGCCCACTGCGCAGGTGGAGGCCATCGCAGTTCTGAGACACCACATGCTGCACCTGCACAACGGGGCAAGGAGGCAATCAGGAGGGGGTGGAGGGAGCACCCTGTATTGGTGAAATCATCCCCAGCCCAGTCTGGCCAAGCAAAGAGGCAGCTGTAGCCCAGGAAGGCCCTGTGGTGGGGAGGAGTCGCTGGGAGCACCCAGGAGAACTAGCATCTGTACTCCTGCAAATTAGGTAGCAGCTTGGGGCACTGGATCAGAACCCTCTTGGGTCCCTCTCTTTCAGATCTCCCAGGAGCCCAGGCAGATTCCTTCCCTTTGCTCAGTAGTCCCCTGGAGGCTTCTGACAGACCTCCCCTGTAGTTAGGATGTTGTCTAAAGCCAGCCCCCCCTACCTGCAGTCTACACAACAATCCGTCCTCTTTACCTCAGGGTTGACTGAAGCACCTTGCCACCTGGGCTCTGAGGGGCAGCTCTGGGCTCTTACCAGCTTTTGCTCATGCAGACGGGTGATGCTCATGTGGGTGAGGGTGGGCTCCGCGTCACTTAGGTCAGCAGCACTGCAGTTGGGTAAAAGAGGGATGCGTCAGGCAGGTGCAGCTGCTTGCTGCCTGACCGTGTTTGTGAGGAAGCCGAGAGACGCTCACCTCACACTTCTTCCTTTCTGAAGCAATGTCCACACTCCATTAGGGCCTCGATAATCGGGGATAGAAGCTGCCTGCACAATTGTGAAATGGGGTTACCACAGGTACCGCAGAGTACCCCACACAGCGCAGGCCACACCCCAGGCCTGACAACAGACTGGTGTCTGTCTGTCCCCTCGTTATGGCTCTTCCCCTGCATGCATGTTCATGACTTCCTTGTCCTGTCTGGGCCAGCTCACCCTTCCAGACTCCTCAGAACCCTGCTCTACTCCAGGGTCATTTCTAGCAGTGAGCAGCTGTGTCCACACGTGTCTCAAACAATGAAGGGCTCAGCAGTGTCCAAAGGGACAGGTGTTAGTGTTCAAGTCATGTTCAGCAAAACAGTAAGTCCCAGAAGGAAGTACACCTCTGTCCCAAGCACTTACAGCTCTGAACAGTTTTAACTTCCACTTAGCATACATATAAAAAACCTCTAGGATGAGATAAACATTAGCTAATTTTCCACGAGAATCAGTACGTATCTAGGATCTAAGAGTCTTTGGGTCCTGGCTGGGGAAGCCCTGTATCCTCACTGCTGCTTATGCTCAGAGAAGAACCCACCCTGACCGGTAACCCTAGCCCATTATGGATGAAAACCTCAAACGGTGCTCAGACTACATTTACAAGCTGCACATGGTATTGAGCTGTCACCAGATTTGTGGAGGCGATATCGATATCACTGCTATACAGTCACCACATGGCTCAAAGGTCCCAAATGCTTACATCCCAGATGCTGTAAGGTTCGCACATTGCTACTGGGACATCGCTGTCTGTCTGTCTGTCTATGCTTCCCATCCCCACATTTCCCTGCAGAGCCCTACTCAACGCCACTTCAACAGCAAGGTGAGGACTGTATGTCTGACACCAGTCAGATTTGCACCACCCTTACCTGCTTACGGCCGGTAGCTGTTACCTGTGTAACAAAGGTCTTCTTTTCTGTATGTTTGTATTTACAATTGTGCACACGTGTGTAGATATGCACATGTGTGTGCCCCTGTGTATGAATCTCAATCTCCACCTTACTTTTTTTTTTTTTTTAACATTTTTTGAGGGGGAAGGGTGCACGCAAGTGCCATAATTCTCGAGTAGACGTCAGATAACGAACGGCCTGTAGCACTCAGTCCTCTCCTACCGTCCTGTGGATTCCGAGGACCAAACTCAAGCCATCACTGAGCTGTCTCACTACCCTTTCCCCTTTGGGTTTTTGTTTTTTTTTTTTTTTTTTTTTTTTTTTTGGCGACAAGTTCTCTCACTGAACCTTGGAGCTCATGGGTTTGGCTAAGCTGTCTAAGCAGCAGGCTTCCGGGGTCTTCTTAGCTTATCTTACCAGTGCTGGGATTACAGGAGTCTGCCACTGCTGAGCTTTTTCATGTGGACGCTGAGAGCTCAAAGTCAGGGTCCACACGTTTGCACACGCTTGCACAGCAAGTACCCAACCAACCGAGGCACCCCTCCCCTCCAGGCCACCTCAGGGACTCTTTGAGAACAGAAATCATCTGGTGTTTGCCTTGGCTGAACCTACATATGCCAAATACTCCACACTCACCCCTCATCACGTAAATATGTCGGTTACAAAGCTAGTCATCCCTTAGCCCAGGAAAGGTCTCAGAGCCAAGACCACAGCATTTCCTGTCGGCCCCTGTTGGACCATGGCTCTTACTGCCTTCCTTCTTTTGTTTTGAGACAGGGTTTTTGCTTCTGAATTTCCTCCTCAACCAGGCTCCAGCTCCTGAGTCCTGAGATTAGAGGTTTGGGATGTGACACTGGTGTTCTGTTTATCTTTCTTCACGGAGTAGGAGACAGTGTAGGTCTCCAGTCTGTCCACATTACGTGGCTCAATCAATCTGTCTCCTTTAGTGGAGAAGAGATCAACAGGCAGTTGGCTACTAGGCCCTATTTTTGTTCGTTTGTCTCTAATTAGCTGTCACAAGTCAAGCGTTCTGAAAGTCTTTGGCTCATTTAAATTATTATTACTATTATTATTAACATTTTAAAGACAAGGTCTCTAAATAGACCTGGCTAGCCTTGAACTTACAAAGATCTGCGTGCCTCGGACTGCTAGGCATGCGCCACTACGCTCAGCTTGCCTTAATTACGTCTTAAATCTAGAGTTGTCTTTGGGTCTCTGAGCAAAGAGGACACCTTGGAGCGGCTTCAAGGGAGACCGTCTGAACTTGGGTAGGTAGTTCCTCAACTGCAGCTCTGTGCAGAGCAAGTTTGTGTCCCAGAAGGGGGCGCCCCGCACCTGACCCAGCCAGCAGCCGGCCCTCGCCTACCGTGCTGATCCCAGCGCCTGTGTAGACCACCAAGTGTTTGGCATTCCGGACAGCTCCGGCCAGTTCCCGGACCTTCCTCCGCAGCTCCTCCGGGTCATCACACACCTGACGGGGAGCCGGGGCTGGTCATGCCGCCCGCCGCCCGCCGCCCTCCGCCCGCCGCCCGGGACTCGCCTCCTCTTGGCGCCGCTTGAGGCCCTCTCGCCTCCGGCTCCGACCCTGCAGCTCGGTCACCAGATCCTCGCTCTCGGCCAGGAGCCGGCCCTCCTCCGCGCTGCGCTCTGCAGCCGCCTTCCTCAGGATGCGTGACACCTGCGGGCGGGCGGACGGGCGGGCGACAGGTCAGCGACTGCACGCGCGGGCTCGGCCGCGGGCACCACGGCAGCCTACCTGGCGCAGGCGCTCCCGCTGCTGCTCCTCTCGCAGCCTCCGGACCCGCTCAGCCGCCTTGCGCTCCGAGCGGCTCAGACCGCCACCGGCTGCCATCGCTCCCTGGACTGCGCTTCCGGCTTCCGCTTCCGCCTCGCCGGGCAGCCACAGGGACGCATGCGCGCGCCCGAGCCACCCCGCCCCTTCCGGCTCGCCCTTCACACCCCTAGTTTGGTCCCCTCCTCCTCCTTGCAAAGAAATAATAGCAGGTCTCTTTTAAAAGGTGTTTATTGATCATATACAAAATAAAGAAAACCTTATATATCACAAACATACACTATGTACAGCAATAAATACCCGGGGGGCCAGGCCCAGCGCCGCCCCTCCTGGACAATAATTTAGCAATAAATACTGCGCAGGGCACGGGTGGGCACCAAGGCTGCTGTCTGCTGAGGCCAGGCTGCTGGTCGCTCTGCACTGGTGCGAACGTCCAGGCCTCACCTCGCAGCCAGATCCCTGATGGCCTTGCCCAGGTGCAGGAGACTGGGTCTCACCTTGCAGCCACACCCCAGCCCCTCCTCACTTAGATCTTTAAGGACCCCCCCACCCCATTTAGGGTACTCTCTACTAACCTCCCCCTGGCTTCAGCCCTGCAGGGCAGGCAGGGGCTGATCAACTCTGCTTGGACACACCTCTCAGCACCAGGAGACCAACAGAGCTGGACACACAATAGCCCTTGTCCTGTCGCCCTAAGTTGCCAGGAGAAGGGTTTCTGTACCCACTCCCATTTGGTTAAAGGCTTCAAGGACTAGCAGACAGAGAGGATGGGAGGGAAGATAGGACTGGGGTATGAAGTTGCTAGAGGGGCTGAGAGCCCAACCGGGGTCAGAGAACAGGGAATTCTGTCGGGGACACTTCCTAGAACACTCCACTTCGAACTTCCAGAGACACCCATGCTGCTCCAGGGAAAAGGGTAGAAACGTGTGCAGCTAGCCCATCAGGTACAGCACACAGCCAGGGAACATGCCAGAACCGGGCAGGCCACAAGCAGCTCTCAAAATCCCATGCCTCTGTGTGGTACTGTCCTCTTTTCCACAACTGCTCCCAAACCAGGCAGCCAACGGGGACATGAAAACATGCCAAGAAGAATTATTGTGGCTTTTGGGGAAAAAGAAATCGTTAATGTGTTGGTTCCTTTCACCAAACCACAGCCTAAAAAAGTAACTCAGAAGATCCCAGAGCGGAAACAGTGCAGCAGGGCTCTGGCCCAGGCATCCCAGCTGTGGATGGGAGCTTTGGCCAAGTGGCCACACCAGAGAGGGAGGTAGCAGGGAAGTGGCCTCGCCATCTCCAAGTGGGCTGTAGCTTATCAAACCTGCACACCCTGGCACTGAACACCAAACCTGCTGCTAACACACACAGACCTGAAAGCTGGACTGAGAACAGCCTTCGGGGAAGCCTGGTGATGACAGTGAGCCCAGAACAACTTGGTCATAATCTCCAGAGAGAAGCATTCCATCTCACGTGGTTTCTCTGTGAAAGCCGAGTTTCCATGTCCGAGGAAGGAGGTCAGGCAAAGTCAGGGTAGGAGGGGAAGCTGCACAAAAATGGTTTACTTAGCGGAGTAGTTTGGGAGACCTGGCCTCAGCCAAAGCTCTCCACTCGCTGTGTCAGAAAGTCTCAAATACAACGCCCTCACAGTAGGAAAACAGAACAAACGATGATCAGAAAGACAGCCAACAGTCACACTTGGGACACAGGGTTTACTGTCACGAAAGAGAAGGGACAAGGGGTGGCATGCACTGCGGGGCTGGCTCAATAGGGAACGCTCCCCAGACTCAAGCAGGTGCTGCAAATCTGAACACTATGAGCATGGCCCTATCCAGTTCAGAAGCCAAGAGCTGTTCAATCTCCTCTTTCTCATCCTCCTGCAGGCTCGAGCTATGCACATAGAAGGCCATGATCGGTTAGTTACACACGACCACTCAGCCAGGACCAAGGAACGTGGAAACCCTGTCCCTCTCCTCCTCAGCTAGGCATGGGCAGAATGCATTCCAGCTCTGCTTGCTGCCTGTCAGAATCAGCAACTCACCTGGGTACCAGTGTGAGAACCAAAGGGGGGGAGGGGGATGAGGTCACCTGGTAACTTATAATCAACAGTCCAGACTTCCACTCACATCTGACTCAGGCATCAACGGGAGTGTCTGAGCACCTTGAGCCAAAGAAGCCCACCCAAATGCCAGGGCCTGCAGAGGTCCTGCTCCCAGAGCACGGCGTGCTGGGCCAAACTGACTGAAAACCCTGCTGCCCACGAGGTAAAGGCCCATCAGGCCAGTCTCTCAGCAGCTCACGTGTATGTGCTTTTCAGGGACCCAGGGCCCCCAGAGAAGACACAGGCAGTACCAGCAAGAGGCCAAGGGCCACGTGACTACACAGGAAAACAGTCTCTTACAGGTGGGCACCCGCCTACGAGGAGCTTCCCAAGCCAAGCCTGGAAGGTGGGCAGCCTCCACTGCATAGCTGGGGTGAGGAGGCAGGTGTAGACCCTGCCGAGAAGCACCTCCAAGTCGGACAGCGGATCCCTGGAAGACACAGATCCTGAAGGGAGGCGTAAGGAAGGCCCAGAGCCAAGAGCTGCAGACAGTGCGGAAGAGACAGACCTGGCCCTGAAGCCAAAGCCCTTGTCTGGCAACGGTGGAGGCCTCCAGGCCCTCACAGTGAGGCCGGGAAGAACAGGTTGCCCCAAGGGGGCCCCTGACCAATCTGCCTGGGAAACAATAGCCCACAGAATGGGATTTTAGGGATAGGTGGGCGATAAAGATTTCCAGCCCACAAGGTAGGCCTATGGGGTGGCCTTGCCGAGGCCCCAAAGGAAGCCTACAGGAACAAAGCTGAGGCCAAGAGGAAGACAGCCAGGGACAGGTAAGACACAGCCCTGTGGGCACCACAGTGACTCCTTGGTCCCTGCAATGCCACCACCCAGGGTCACAGGTGGTGGATGTGGGAGCAGCACGGGGGTCAAGACAGCTCCCAATCTCACGTACTCTGCCCTAGACCCACATGCGAAGCCAAGGCTCGGAGGGACCAAGTGGCAGAGGACAAGTGCAGAAGAATTTGAGTTCTGCCTGGGACCCCAGCCCAACCCAGGTCCAGCAAGCCAGCAGAAGCAAAACCACAACAAAATTCAAAACACACACACACACACAAAATCCATACACAGGGACAGCCACAGGTCAAAGGTCACCAGAAGCACCAGCACTTTACGGCTGCACAAAACCTCACCAGGCACGGACAACAGCACGGCACCGGCAAGACGGAAGCGGGAAGGGCAAAGGAGTAAGTCACTTTCGGTACAATTGCAAGAGATATCAAAGGGGCGGCCTCCGGCCGGCTCGCAGCTTGGCCTTTTTTTTTTTTTTTTTTTTTTTCCTTTTTTTAAACTAAGTTTTATAAGTAATGTCTGATAACTCTGCGTATAAAAACTAAACTCCAACAGCCACAGAGCTGTCCCCAAGTTTACAAGAAAGGGTTGTTTTTTTTTTCTTTTTAACCTAGCAAAGTTTATACTATACTTTCTTCCCTTTTCCATTTATATGGTCAAATGTTGTTTTTTTTTTTTTTCTTTTTTAAAGACAATTTTATAAATACTCTGCAGCTTTTTTTTTCTTTTTAGCTCTTAAACATATAATTTAATAACTTCGTAAAAGGAACTTCTCTTTTAAATAAAGGGCTATATAACCACACAAACAGGTCATGTAAACAGACACCGGACACCGGTGACCCACCGCAGGACACACTGACACACCTTCCACCCACACTTACAACCAGCGATTTGGTCTTATCCAGTGCACTGTGCCAGGCTCCAGCACCGTGGTCCCTGCCCCAGTGCCCAGGCTGGTGGTCTACCCATGCAGAGCCTTCAAGACATAACCTTTTCAGGGCAGAGCCCATCTCTTCCTTCTGGATCAAGCTGAGAGGCCCACTGGAATCTGAAGAGAAAGCGCCTACGTCCCCCTGCAGACTGGCGGCCTGGGGGCCTGCAGACCACCAGAAAGGGCAGACCTAAGCCCGGTGCACTTGCCCACTCCCACTCGTGTCCGCCCCACAGTGCCCACTCCGGACTCCTAGCCTGCATGGCCTTGGTACAAAGGGGTTAGGGGCAACCCAACATCACTGCTGAACTGACCAATCCCAACGTACAAAACACGCGCGTGACGACAAGGGTGACAGGGGCTCAGCCCAACGCCCCTGGGTGCAGGTTGTGCTTTGCAGGGAAGGAAACGGGGAAGGGAGAGGAGAAGAAAAGGGAAAAGGAAAGGGAAGGAAGAGGGACAGGGCTGCCAACTTTGCCACGCCCTTAGTGGCCCCTTAGAGACCTGTCTGGCAAGTGCACGTGTCCCTATGACCGAGCATCTGTCTTGGACTTTACTATTGTGATGACGCTGGTGGCAGCCACCTTGCCAGGGACCAAGGGCCCCAGGCCAGCAGCAAGGGGGCCCCGAGCTGGGGCCACGGGGCTGCGGGCCACGGTCCTGGCGAAGTTCTGCAGGGCCTCATACTTGGAGCGCAGCGCATCGAGCTCCAGCTTCATGCTGGCGTTCTCGGAGGCCAGCTTCTCCACCTCCTGCTGTAGCTCCGCCTTCTGCTTTTCCAGCTCCTCCTTCTGCGTCACCCGCTTAACCCTACAGCTGGCCGCGTAGCCCCGGTTCTTGAGTGTGCGGCGGCGCTGCTTCAGCTGGATGATCTCTTCCTTGGACAGGCCTCGCAGGTGCTGGTTCAGCTCTCGCACGGACATGGTCACCAGCTCCTCGTCGGTCAAGCTGGTGCCATTCTCACCCGGTTCCCGCTTCACCTGGAGAGCAGTGACGAGCAGGGTCACAGCCGCGCAGGGAACCCACCCACCACACCCCAAACCCGGCCTCTCCACTCACCTTTAAGGCCTTGTTGCCTTTATTGGGGGTCGTCATAACCCGGGGGCACAAGGAGCGGGCACTCTGCAAGACACAGAGCAGAGGTCAGGACCCCGTAGACCCCCCCCCCCTTATACCCCGAGAGGAAGCTTGCCTTGCCATCAGGTGCTCAGCCCACTGAACCTTGCCCTCACCTGACCCGAGGACAGCCCTTGCACCTTGGTTACCCTGAGCTGGGCTGCTTCAGAAGGCCCTTTCCCTAGAGAGACAGGTGGGAGATCAGGAGGTTTCGGGAAGAACCAGCTGTGTGAAGGCAGAGGGGAGCAGAGAGAGATTAGAAGGTCTGGGCTGCAGGAGGGGCGAGCCTAGAAGGAAGCTGAGCTTTAAAAATAACCCCAGCGCTGCCCTAGAGCACACTGTTCCTGGCGAGTCACGCTGACTCAGCATATCGCCTCCCTGTCTTCCCGAGGCCAGCCAACAGTTCCCCGGGAGACCCACTACAGGGACCAACAGCAGGCAAGGGTCAGTCAAGGACCCTAAGACACGGGGTCCTACTTCCCTTGTATCCATCCATCCCTAAGCTTGCCCAGGACAAAAGAAAAGAAAGCCCTTTCTCCCTCTAGGACTTAGGAGGCTGCTTCCTGCCTCATTTTTGGCAGAGGACCAACCAGGTTTGCTCTTACTGTGCAGACTGGGGATCCTCTCACCTTCCAGGTAGCAGGCAATCCAGCTGGGAGGAGCTGAGCCCAGGCCCCTCCAGTCCTCCCCGTCCACCTCCTTCACAGATGGAGTAACCATCCTGTGGCTTGGTTGCAGCATCCTGTGCTCCTGCCACACCCGATACTGGGTGTTTCACAAGGGCCCCCACAATTAGCAGAGGGTGGGCACTGTTAGCTGGAAGCAGGCAAGAGCCAGCCGCTTTGGGTCACTGGCTGGTCTCTGGCTATCTGCCTAGGGTCAGTGACCACAGGGCCAGGAACAAAAGCAAAGCAGCTACCTTCTACGGTCAGCCACCCCTCTGGCATTGGATCTTATTTTCAGACTTCTGAAGCCTTGCCAAGAACATTTTTGTATACCCAAGCTGGGAATCCCCACTTAGCCCAGCACCTATCAGTCCCAGGGCTGAAGATACCTCCTCCCCTTTCCAGGTTAGAGGCAGAGAAATGGAAAGGAACTGCAGGTGAGATTGTGGCAGTGTCTTCCAGAGGAGGCTGAAGGCTGCACGCACTCAGGCGACATGTGCCAGGGTGGGAGGTGGGGTGCACCTTAAACCTAGCAAGAGAACTAACGTGTGAGCCAGAGGCAGGTGTGCTCCCAAGTAGACCACTCTCAGCCTGGCACAGGAGGTGTGGCTACATGCAAACAAACGTTAAGCACAGAAGCTGGGAGACACTTCTCCAGGGCCACATTAAGAGCATTTTCAGAGTCAAGAGTCCCTACAGATCACAGAGAAAGACAGAAGTCCGAGTTAGGGCTCTGAAGGGATCCACCTTTCTTAGAAGCTGGCTCCAGACTCATGCCAGGGGCAGAAATCGAGGTGAGAGAGGCAGCCCTAGCAGGAGCTTCCTTCACACAGACTGCTCAGCTCAAAACGGAGACTTCCTGCGATTGCACAGGAAAGTGCAGCGTGTGGTGGCTGGGAGCTGAAAAGTGCCTCCTCAACAGATTTTCCCCTCTACTGAAGGCCTGAACTCAGCACAAGTACAGCCAACTGCCTCCTGATCAAAGGTGTGTGTGTGTGTGTGTGTGTGTGTGTGTGTGTGCGCGCGCGCGCGCAAATGTGCAAGTGTATATTCATATGTATACTTAAGGAGACAGCAGGTCTTACAATGCTTACAGCTCCCTGCCTAGCTCCTGCCGACCTAGGGTCACACGGTGACTAAGCAGACAGCTTTAGGGGGCAACTGTGCTGAGGAATAGTTACACGAGCCCGAGGAAGAAGCTCAGAGAAGTTAACAAGACCAGCTTCCCCCCAGCTCCGCCCTCCTCCAAATATTCTCACGGCGGACATCTGAACATGAGTCTCAAGCCAGACAGTGACCCTTGCTCATCCTTGCCTGCAAACTCCAGTGCAGGAGGCCCAAACTTAGTTAGGTCTTCTCTCCCTCAGACACTGACATTATCTGAAAACAACGTAAAGCTTTATGTCACAGCACAGTGACACCAAAGCTTAAACGCCTTTCCGGGACCTTGAATTTTCATAGGGCATAAAGTTCCACCCTTAATGAAAGCACCTGGCACGTACAGGCAGCCCCAGGGCTTGGTGTGGTAAGTGTGGAGGGGGGGGGGACATCTGTAAGCACGAACCACAAAGTCAGCTTAAGCTAGCCATGAAATCCCCGGGAAAGAAAGCAATACAGGACCGTTCACAGCAAGTGAGGTCAGTAAATATCCACACAGCCACGCAAAGGTGGGGGCACACCCCACGCAGGCTGTCACTTCCCAAGAGTTCGCAGTGATCAGGTCAGACAACCGACAAGGCACACACTTTTTGCTAAGCTGGGGCACCAGTGGGTCCCCCAAACTCTTCTGACAGGGGTAAAGGAGAGGTAAATGAGAAAGAAGTACATCCTCCACTCCATGCTCGCACCTCCTCGAAACTCCCACCGGCTACCATCCACCCTTTCCTCCCATGAGCTGGCAGAGCTGCCCCGGCTTCCTTAAAGCCACACACCCTTCTCTCGGGACTCCCGGTCTGGTCTTTTTCCTGCAGGGGCCGACGCTGCCTGGCCGGCCAGGGTCACTCAGAAGGAAAGCCGCCTTCCCAGACAAGCTGGCTCGGCCCACCTAAGCTCCTCCCCTCAGCGTACTCCGATCGGTCTCTCCCAGTTTGGGAAACTGGACCCGGCGTGGGACCTGGACCAGGAGCCCCAGAGCCTAGGAGGGATATGTCAGCCTGGGGCTTTTTTACCTTCCACCCGGGAGAGACCTGCGGCGCGCCCCTGCAAAGCCTCCTTCGAGGCCTTTGCCTCCAACTCACAGGTCCGTTCAACTTAAACACGACCCCGGCTCCTGGGCCCGACCTTCGCCTCCCGGATCGAGCCCTGCCTCCCCGCTCAGACTGCCCGGTAGCGGGCCTGGGCCCCCCGCCCCGGCCCAGCGTCAGCAGGAGCACTAAGTGACCTCATGCTGATGACTCAGCACGTCTCCGCTGGGCTCGCACGCGCGTGGCGAGCGAGCCCCAGCCGCTCCGCGGGGTCTCCCCGCCGCCGCCCCAGCCAGCCCGCGCGACCCCGCCCGCTCGGAAGCCGACGGACACCTGATGAGTCAGCAGCCTGGCGCGGCCACCCCGGGGCTGGCCCGGGCAGGCGCGCGGACCTCGCCCTTTAATCGCGCCCCCCGCGGGGCACCCGGGGCCCGTCGCGCGCGCACGCCCGTCGCCAGCCGCGCCCGGCCCACCAGCTCCGGGGTGGCACCGGCGAGCCGCCGGCTCCCGGCCGGCTGGCGGAGACCAGCGAGGCGCGCGCCGCCGTCGGATGCGCCGCCACCCCGAGGCCAGGCCCCGCCGCCCGCCCCAGCCCCGCGCACTCACCACACTGCGGGCCCGGGCGGGCCGAGGCGGGGCTGGGGCGGGGCCGCGCGCGCGCGCTCCGAGGCTGCGCGGGGCCGGGGCCGGGGCCGGGGCCGGGGCGGGCGCGAAGGGTCCGGGCCGGGGGCTTAGGGGGACTGGGCGCTCGCGCGGGCCGGGCCGAGCGCGCTAGGAAGGCCGGGCCGGACCGGGCTCAGAATCCGCCGCCGCCGCCGACTCCTCAGACGTCACATGATGTTTGGTCACGTGGGCTCCATTCATGAAGCGGCGACGCGGCTGGCCTAAGCTTAAAGGGAAAGGCGCGGCGGCGGCGAGGCGAGCGCGCCCCCATCACGCCTGCGCAGCCCGGCGCCGTCGTCCCTGGCAACCCGCCGCGCCCAGGCGACGTCTCGCGGGACTCGTCCCCGCGCCCTCCCGGTTCCTCCGTGCCCCGGCCGGGTCAGGTTCCCAGGGATTTTTGATTTTTTTTTTTTTCCCGCATACCTGGACATCGATGGATGAGACCCCCTCCAGGTCTCCACGCCGACTCGGGCCGGGGACTATGGGACAGAACCTGCGTGGGTTTTGTTTTTGTTTTTCACTTGCATACGGGGTGACACTGCATAGCGATCACAGGCTGGCTTTGGATCCCGGGCGATGCTCCTGCCTCTGCCTCCCGAGACCTGGAATCGTGGACGAGCGCCGCCACGCGGCTTCCCCCCGCCTTGCTGTCTTGATGTAACGCATTGGTATAGTTTCTTATCAAAGCATTCTGTAGCGATGCCCTCTCATTTCTGAATGGGTCAGAGAGCTGAAAAGCTGAAAAGGCACAGACCAGACCCCAGCCCACGTTCCCAAAATCCGCGAGATGGCTAGGAACTTCACCTGCAACCGAGGAGCCTCTCTTTGGGTAGTATGCGTGCATTGTAATTAAGAGTTGTGAAAAAAATTTTTGAAATCCATCAGTCAATAAAAAAGAGTTGTGCGCTTTCTCCCCTTTGTTGACACGTCTAACTAAAACTGCTTCCCGTGCATTCTGCTGCTGCTCTTTCTGCGAGGAAGCTTCCCACTGCTGTTGAAAATTCCGCGAATGAAGTGAAAATAAGCGAAAAGAAGGAAAACGGGAGAGAGGTCGAGTTTTCATTTCCAGTTTCAGAGCATTGTACTTGGCTCTACCTTCTCAGGTGGAAAGCCACCACGACAGGCGACTCTTCCCGAAAGGCGGGTGATGAGGAAAGGGGGCAAGCGGGCTGGGGATGGGTTTCTGTGTGTTCTTGGTGGTTCAGTGCCACTGAGTAACGGAGGATGAAGGTATGACAGAAGCGAAGCCAGGATCCTCCAGTCCATTCTGCCAGCTTCCAGGAACTTGTTATGGGGATCCCACACCTCAATGTACTGTCTCCGTCTGTCCCGTAGGGCTAAAATAGGGTCACATCTGCACCCGAAACCATGCCCAAAGAGTGTGACCACTACTAAAAGTTCACTGGCAAGGCAATATGCCATTACAGATATTAGACACGCTAGACAAATGCTCTATAAGTGGAACACACACACACATTGTATTTCTTAGCGGAGTGTATAGGGGGTAGCTAGAGTCTCAGCGTACGGGGCCTATGTGAATGTAGAATTACTCCTTATGCCCTCAAGGTTTCTGTTTTCTTCATTGTTCTTTCCTTCGTTTTTTGCTGTAGTTGTAAGATAAGAGTCTCACTCTGTAGACTAGCCTGGCTGAAACTCAGCAGCAACTGCCCTGCTTCAGCCTCCCAGCCTCTGGCATTACAGGCATGAGCCTCCAAGCCCTCCTTGTTTGTTATTATTGCCTTTATTTATGAAGATGAGCCTTACTCTGTTGCTCAGACTAGCTTCAAACTCTGGGACTTGCTGGGCTGTGGTGGTGGCACACATCTTTAATCCCAGCACTCGGGAGGCAGAGGCAGGTAGATCTTTGAGTTGGAGACCAGCCTGGTCTACTGAGTGGGCTCCAAGACAGCCAGGGCTACACAGGGAAACCCGATCTTGAAAAAACACAACAACAAAAAGTAACCAGGACTCCATGCTTGCATGGATCAGCGAACCCTCAAGCTTTTTACCCCCAATGTTAGGGGTCAAACCCAGGATATCTGAAGGCGTGGTTTTAAGTGAGTTCGCCAGACCCAAGATAAATGATAAATCACTGTTTATTAGGGGAGGACTTGCACAGATAAGAGGTCTTCCTGCTCTAGAAGATGCAGTCTCTGCTCTTCCGATGCTCTCCACAACCCAGGAGAGCTACTCCTCTACATTAATGGGTCACATCTGCACCCGAAACCGTGCCCAAAGAGTGTGACCACTACTAAAAGTTCACGGGCAAGGCAACACGCCACTACAGATATTAGACATGCTAGACAAATCCTCTATCAGTGGGACACACACACACACAGCTCAGAGGAGAGGCCTGGTGCATCCTTGTGTTCAGTATCTTCGTCCACATCACTGAGCGCTGGATCAGAGGAGCCCTGAGCCACTCTCCCACCCTGCTGAGAGGGTCTGGAAGGGTGAGTGTGGTACTGGGTTACGGAGGCAGCACCAACAGAAAGGCAACCTGGCAGGACACTTGGGTCACCTCGGGACTTGCTTTTCATTAGCTGCTCCCTGTCCTTGTAACAGCTGCTCAAGTATCCTTAAGAGTACATGCTGTGGGTCCTGGAGTGGCTACTAAAGGACACTGTTGCCGGGATGACCCCCTTCCATGGCTCCCACCCCTTACGTCATGGTCCTTAAAGCATTCGGTCTGGCGTTCGTTCACACATCAGAGAGTCGGTCCTCTTTACTGAGGTCCTCCCGGTTCAGGGAGTCTCACTCCCCAGTCCTTGCTCTGGGCATGTACACACCCAGAGCTACAAGAAAAACTCAGTGATGAACCCTTCTGGAGTCGGTGGGGTTGTGGTGTGGAGCTGTGTCTTCCGGGTAGAGAGCCCCAGGCTTGGGGTTAAGCCTGAGGCTGGTGCTACATGTCATGCCACTGATCCCAAGAGTTCCGTGGAGAGGGGAACACTGCAGGAGGCGACCCAGTCTCCAGAATCTTCCTCATCATGGACAGGGTCCTGACACCCATAGAGCAGTGACTAATATGTGTATATGCATGGAGGGGGTGGTGAGGGAAAGTAGAATCCATATTGAAACAAGACCCCAGGAATACATGTGGATGTGACTGGGGCCTGTCATTGGCATTGGCGAAGGGCAGAGCTACCTCAACATACAAATCTCGCCTGCTCAAGAACCCTCCCTTGGCTCCCCGTACCAGCCCAGGATACTTGTCCCTGGGAAGCCTGTTGGAGAAAAGAGGAGCTGGAGAACATGGAGATTTAGTAGGCTCAGGGCATGAGTCTTGCAAGCAAGCCTCTCTTTTGCACAGTGGGTACCTCAGGAAGTTAAGTTTCCGGGCAACCCATCTGCCACACAGCATCAGTGCAACCAAATCTTGGACAGTGGCTTAACCCCCATGCTCGTCCATGCCTTCAGTACCGTTTCTTAGCACATCTGGAGTCTATCTTCCAACCCTGTCAACTGTCTCAACCCTCCTGGGTTCTAAACTGTTCATGGGAAACTAGAAAAGGGAAGTAGGATCCTGATGTGAAGCCCACCCCCACCCCGCAACCAAGACGCCCCGCCCCCGGAAAGACGCCCCGCCCCCTGGCCTGCTCTCTGCTGGATAGGAAGCTACCAGCTCACCTGTGGCCTTGCTCTTCTGCATAGTCAACTCTCAGGCTCCCTGAAGAACGTATATATCAACTTTTGAGGTAGGGACCTCCTCTTCCTGTCTCCATGCTCAGCAACTTCTAATTAAAGAAACATGAACATCAGGCAGTAATGGCACACACCTTTAGTCCCAGCACTGGGAGACAGAGGTGAAGTGGGCAGATGTCTTTGAGTTCAAGGCCAGCCTGATCTACAGAGTTCCACGACAGGTTCCAAAGCTTGGGGGAACACACACACACACACACACCTAAATGTGTAGATTTTTTGGGTGGTGGTGGCGTATGCCCTTTTTTAATCCCAGCACTCAGGAGGCAGAGGCAGGCCAATCTCCGAATTCAAGGCCAACCTGGACTATAAATTGAGTTCCAAGGCAGCCAGGGCTACACAGAGAAACCCTGCCTTGAAAAACCAAAAGTGAATAATAATAAATGAGTAGATTTTGATGTTAAGAACAGCATTTTAGGGCTAGAGAACTCAGCAGACACAAGAAAGCCTGGGTCACCTCCTGGAGCGTCCTCTCTACAAGTCCCAGAGGACAGGGTGGACGGCAGGGACTTCCATCCTTCTGGACACCTGAGCTCAGTTTCCAGCATGCACATGGAGCTCACAGCTATTTGTAACTCCACTTCCAGGGGATCCAGCGCCCTTTTCTGGCCTCCAAGGACACCAGGTACACATGGGGTGCACAGACATACAGAAGGGCAAACGTTCATACACATAAAAATTTAACAATATATATATTTTGAAGCAGGGTTTCTGTTTCCCCTGGCTATCCTGGAACTCCCTCAGTAGACCAGGCTGGCCTTGAACTCACAGATTTCCACCTGCCTCTGCCTCCTGAGTGCTGGGATTACAGACATGTGCCACCACTGCCTGGCATTTTTATTTGTTTGTTGTTTGTTTGTTTGTTTTCGGAGACAGGGTTTCTCTATGTAGCAGCTTGCTTTGTAGACAGGCTAGCCTTGAACTCAGAGCTCTGCCTGCTTCTGCCTCCCAAGTGCTGTGGCACATGCTTTTAATCCCATGAGGCAGAGGCTCCTTCCCATTTCTGTACGTGTGTGTGTGTGTGTGTGTATAAAGAGTATGGGTTTTTCCTCCCGCCGCCAGTCTTGTCCCGCCGCTGCGCCAGCCCCAAATAATACACAGAGACTCTGCATTAGATATTATACTGTTGGCCAGTTATTACTTTCTTATCGGCTAGCTCTGTCTTAAGTATTAACCCATTTGTGTTATTTATTAACCAGTATGAGAAACATATACAGAATGACATCTCCCATCATGTGTGTGTTCTTGATTGTGTCCATCTGGAAAATTCGGAAACTTCCCTCAAAGGGTTCCTCCTCACCAGGAACTTGGCCTTCCCCAGCCTGGATCTGCCAGCAGGGCCCCTCCCCCTGGCAAGCTGCAAAGGTAGGAACTGAAAAGGTGCTCCCTCACCAAGTCAGTGTGCCAAGCCCTGTTACGGTGCCAGCCTTCCGGCAGGTCTGCTATGATGGAGGCACTGATGGTTGGTGGCCCTCAGCCTGGCCGTATGGGACCTGTGTTACTCACACACACCGCGCCACAGCATTACATTCCCCTGTCCAGGCAAGCCTCTCTCCACAGGTGACAAATAGGTAAATGGGAGCGTTTGAGACAAGCTTTTATTCAACTGAAAGGATAGGAAGGCAAGCAACAGTATTTTGTGAGTTAGTCCAGGAACGCGCTGAAGTTCCTGAAGAAGCTCCCTGAGAAGCCCCTTTCCCAGATGCCTAGTGGGATCCTCGGTAGAGGAAGAAGTCCCTAGAAGGCGGTCCTCACAGAAAGGACAGGCAGCCACAGTGAGTGAATCACAGGAAGGGACCACGCCAAGCCAGCTGACCGTGAAGCTGGGCATATGAAGACCCCAGGGAGCTGAAGAGGTAGAGGTCGCCAGTTGCAAGTGATGTTCCCTGGCTGACCCCTGGGCTGACCTGGCTGTGGGCAAAGGCCTGCTGTGGGGATATTCTGTGTGTTTGGAGCTAGAGCGCCCAGAGCAGAAACTTCAGGCAAGGAGAGAAGAAAGTGAAGACCGAGTCAGCCAGGTGGCCGATGTGGGAGCTTGCCCTGACGCCAGAAGATTGAGTATTGGCTAGATAACAAATCAAGCCACTTATCTTAAAAGAAAAAAAGGAGGTTGGCATGTTGATATCCCCCCCCACATAATCCCAGAATTTGAAAAACTAGAGTCGAGGATTAAGTGTTCAAATCGAGCATCACAACGGTGCAACACACCTTTAGTCCCAGCACTCGGGAGGCAGAGGCAGGTGATCTCTGTGAGTTCAAGGCCAGCCTGGTCTACAGAGCAAGTTCTAAGCCAGGGCTACACAGAGAAACCCTGTCTCAAACACACAAACAAACAAGAAAGAAGGAAAGAAAGAAAGGAAGAAAAGAACAAGAGGGCCGGGAGCAGGAGGGATGCAGGCTGAAGAGATGAGTCATTCCTTGCCTGCTGGGGCCGGGCTGCAGGGCAGTGACTTAAGGCCAAGAGAAGACACAGAGGTCCCAGCAGGGGAGTCCAGTTTCACCTTATCCAGTACAGTCTTTTTGATGGCAGCAGGGGAGACAGTTTCCTGGTCAGCCATGGTCTGCAGCTCCCTGGGAAAGCAATGAGACGGTGGGTCTGAGTCCCTCCTCCCAGGACCCACCCTTCCAGCAGCAGCTATGCAGGGTGGTGCTGTACGGGCGGGCACACCATCTATCTCAGAGCGGCTCCGGGTCACTATCAACCATCAAGATGGCCCAGTGCTCCCCCCTCCCCCCCACCCCCTGAACTTTTCACTGCCCAACTTGTGGCAGGATCTTGCTTCTCCTCTTTCCATGGGCCATGCTAAGTGGCCAGGTCCCGTGTCCAAGCTTTGCTGTGGCACTCAGACTTCTCCAGACATTTCTGCTAGAGGGTGGACACTGGCAAGAAACGGACTGCTGGCTTACGGCTGTAGACATGAAGACGGGTCAGGGATTCCCAGCCATGGCTCTGCCTTACACCAACTGAGGGAACCTGGGCATGTTTCGTTCAACTCTTATCAAGCCATCTTGCTGACAACATGCTCCCATGTTAGCTAACTCACTGAACCTGGGAAAGGTCACGAAGAAGGTGCTGGGCAGGCCTCCTAAACCACCGCCCCCCCACCCTTCTAGCCTGGCTCCCTGGCCAGGATGGGGAAATGGTACGAAGGCTGTATTGCAGGACCAGATACTGTCTACAGACACATAACAATACATTCTCACATGGCAATGCAAGGGAGCTAGAGGCATTTCATGTTGTGACCCAAGGAGCCTTGGGACTTCCAAAATCCTCCTCAGAGCCAGGACAGGGCTCAGTGGTATCTACTGAGCGAATAACTCCTTTGAAGCCTTTGAAGCCAGGATTCTGGTGTACAGAGTTGGTGGCGAGAGTGGGCAACGGCGGGACCTACCGTGTGCGGATGCAGGAGGCCTCCACAGCATTGATAAGCAGGGAACGAAAGCCCCCACTCTCCAGCACATGCAAGGCATGGATGGTGGCCCCACCAGGCGAGCAGACATTGTCCTTGAGCTGGCCTGGATGCTCTTCTGAGTCTAGTAGCATCTTAGCTGCCCCCTGTGACAAGAAAGAGGGGCTGATGGCAGTAGGGCACCTAACTACCTACTTCTACAGATACTAGTTTTGGGTTTAGCAAGGAGCAGCTGACCAAAATACTGACCAGGAGGGCCTGGGCCCCCAGGCGGACAGCCAGGCGCCTTGGAAGACCCATTTTCACACCACCATCAGCGAGAGCATCCAGGGCGGTGAAAGCCTGTGGGGAGAATACACCCTCAGCCACCGTCCTACCCTCTTCTCTGGGACCCAGAGCAGGGTGCAGCAGAAACAGGTGCACGGAGGCCCCGGGGAACTGCCCATAGCTCTAACCACCACTCATCATTCCAGTCCTCACATAGGCAGGGCCGCTGCCACTGAGCCCCGTGACAGCATCGATCAGATCTTCCTCCACCTCCGTGCAGAAACCCACGCTGCCCATGAGCTGCTCCACGAGCCTGCCATCCTCCACCCGAGCGTGAGTGCCTGTGGCATACACTGTCACACCCTCCCGCACTATCACCGGGGTGTTGGTCATACAGCGGATGACTTTGGGAGCTGGCTGGCACGCTGTCAGCTTCTGAAAGAGAAACCGGCTCTGTCACCCTGGTCCTGGCCACTGGCCCTCACCCCAGGCATGGGAAGTGCGTATGGACCTGCTTGCCCAACCGAGCACTGCCTGGGTTCTTGCTGTGGGCTGGGCTGCTATGTATACCCTGTACACAGATAGAGAAGCCCAGAGCAGAGCTCCTGAGCATATGTTCCACACCGTCCCCCAAGCCCTACGGATCTGGCCCACAGCACCCACCTTTTCAATGGAGTTGATGGTGACACCTGCCGCACAGGACACCACAATGTGCCTGTCCTCAATGTTAGCACCAATTTCATCCAGGATGAAGGGGATGATGTGTGGCTTCACAGCCAGGAAGAGAACATCACTGTGGCGCACTGTCTCCTTGTTGTGGGGTGTCAGGTTCACCCCTATCCTCTGCAGGAGTGCAAGGGTACTCAGCTTGCCTCACGGGCTGTCTGCCCACAAAGCTGAGAGCCTTGTGTGCACAGAAGCCCACAGGCTGCTGGGCTGTGGTGCAAGCTGGGTTGGGAGTCAAAACCCACTCAGCTGTCCTTATCCAAAAATGGAAAAAGCACTATGCCCTGGAATGTGTCCCCTTTGAAGCAGAAAAGGATGTCACAGCCTTATAAACACGGTCCAGCCCATTCTACCTGAGGCTGTACTGGCTGCAGTCTCTGCAGCTGCCTGCCTTCCGGAGATGGACGGTAGCCTCAATCTGGGAACCTGACCCCCACATCTTCAGCCTGAAATCCTGATTGAGCCATAGCAAACAGAAAATGTACTCCCCAACACCCAGGTCCATTGTCTGCTCCCAATGCTGCCCAGCCTTCCGGAGATCTCATTCCAGACTAACACCCTCTCCTGCTAGCTGTATTCATGACAGGGCAGTGAGGGAGCATCTGGAGATTTCCTTGTGGCAGGTTTGCTTTTCCCACTGGAGTAGGGAGCTACACTACTGCTGCCCCCACCCTGGCCCTCAGTCAGGTGCGTTGCACAGCTAACCCTAGACACCAACTCCAAAGAGAGTCAGACTTCCTATCTGCTCTAACGTGGCACCTACCCGGAGGGCAGAGACCGTGGCTTGGTCCATGTCCGGAGAGCTGGCCATTATCTTGTGAGCAGCCAAAACACCTGTAGGAAACAGAATTCCTCCCTCAAAGCTAGTTCCAGTCTGTCTGCCCCACACTGCTAGGAAAGAACGGGCAGAGAAAACCTCACCCCTTTAGGACAGCAACCCCAAACATACGGTGGTAGCTTACATTTCTCAAAGGACCGAGACCACTAACCCAGACATTCTACTACGTTAGCACCCTCCCTGGCCCCAGAGGAAGTCTACCTGCTGCTGTGAAGCCTTTGGCTAGGGCAAAAGCCAGCTGCCCTGCCCCGATGAAACCCACACTCATGTCTGGAGGTCCAGCTCCCACAGCCTTCACAGCTAACGCCGGCTCTGCAGGGCAGCTGCAAACTGGACCGACAGGATGGAAAGCAAGGAGTTGGGTGGGCAGTACCAGGTTTGGCCGCTCCTGGCAGCCAGGTGCTCCCCAATTCCCATACCAGCCTGCCTAATATCTAGGTTGCTTCTCGGCTGGCCTGGCTGGGAAGTTGTCCCGGTTTCCCCACACCCCGTACCACAAGCACTTGCTGCCAGAGCAAGGATGCCAGAGCTGCATGCAGCTGAAGGTCCTGAACCCACCGGAAAGGGCTTAGGGAGAGACAGATTGTAGGGAAGGGGCCGGAATCCAGAGTACCCTCAACAGCCAAGACCGCAGTCCGCCTCCACCTTAGGTCCCAGAAGCCCCATCCCCGTAGCCTTCATTATAGGAGTCCCAACCCAGGTGCCCGGTGTCCCGCTACAGGTACCTGTGTGCAGCTACACGCGCGAAGGTCCGGCCCTCTGCATCTGCCACGCGGCACCCACGCCCACCGGCCCCACCCCCCATTCCACTTCAGCCAATGCGCGGTGCGGCCTCCGGGAGCTAGCCAATCCAGAGCTGCAGCAGGAGCCTTGTGCGTTGCATCATCCACAGGGCTTGGACAGACACGCCTCCCTGCTACCTCCCTGAAGTGGGTGGTGGTTGCGAATACAGATCACTACCACAAAAGCCACGAATCCCTTCCTCTATCTGTTGTTTCGTTGCTGGTGTTCCTTTGAAAGCTAGGCACTTTCTACAGCCACGGGCCTACCTATTACTTCCCGAACCTCCTCCATCCTACAGTGTCCTAATTTCCGAACCACGGATTATGGAGATAATTTGCTCAGGATGTCTGCGGACCCCCATAGGTGCTCAGGACCCATTTGCTCGTCTAAAAGTTGCACAGCAGTCTGGGGATTCCCCAGACTTTACCAAAATACAAGTGAGTCCTACGCACACCCCACCCCCCTCAGAGTATGCTTGCTTTTTTTTTTTTTTTTCCTGTTGTGTTTGTTGCCTTAGATAAAGACAAGCTGCTTTAGAAACAAATTTCAAAATCATTAGGAAGCTTCTAGCCTGCAACGTTTCGATTTCTGTCCCTTCTTAACCATAATGACCACCACCCAAACTAGGAGACTACTCCAGGTATGTCTGCATGGCCAGTTTGGTGCTCACCCTCTAAGAAAAAGGCTCAAGCGTATGCGTATATCTTAGAAGTTCCGTTCTCCAAACTCAGCTCCCTGTATCAGATACTTTCCAGGGCTTTGGAGAGACGGCTCAGCGCCTAAGAGCATCGGTTGCTCTTTCTGAGGACCTGGATTCTGCTTCCAGAGTCCATACAGCAACTTACGCTACCCAGAACTGCTTTTCTAGGTGATCTGAGGCTTACTCTTAATGCCGTAGTCAACAGGTGTGCGGGAATGTGCATACATAGGTGTGACATAGTTATACACATAAAATAAAAAAAAAGAAAGGTATGCTTTCCTCTAAATGGTAACAAGCAACACCCCTACAACCAAAAAAAGACGCTCCTGTAGTCTAGGGAACCCTAGAAACCTTTCTCCCATTTTCCTCCTGAGTCTTAGCCATCTTCTCCTCTGCCTTCCCTCAGGACCTCTGGAATTTAGGTTGGATGTGATGTGGGGAGCAGAAGGCCACTCAGCAACAAGAACACTTGGTACTTAGAGACAGATACCATGTTTCAGAATTTTAGCTAGTAAAAGAATGACTGGGGGTGGGGGTGCTGGAGAAATGGTTCGGCTCTCCCAGAGGTTCCTGAGTTCAATTCCCAGCAACCACATGGTGGCTCACAACCATCTGTAGTGAGATCTGCTGCCCTCTTCTGGCCTGCAAGCATGCATGCAGACAGAACACTACAAAATAAATGAATCTTTTTAGAAAAGAAAAAAAAAAAAACATTATTTACTAAATTCAAAAGCAATTAAAAAATAAAAGGGAAATCCCCTTCCCCCAAAAAAACCAGCCAGACTTGATGAGGCATCACATACCTGTAATCCTAGCTCCAGGGAAGCTGAGGCAAGAGGATGTCCTGAGGGAGGCCAGCTTGGACTACTTTGTGAAACCCTGTCTTTGGGGGGGGGGGAGACAAAAGAGGCAGTTGTTATGGCCCAATGGGAAAAGAGCTCGCTTCGAAAACCTCACAACTTAGCCACCTGCGTTGGCTCTCCTCAGCACATGTAAAGCAGAAGGACCAAGTCCACACACGCACTGTGTGTCCCCTGTCTCACATACACCATACCGATACAGGAAGAAGAAGCGGTTGGGTCCCTGTCTAGACAGGATGTGCTTTGTTCCCTGACCCACAACTTCCATTGTTCAGGCACTTGCAGACCCAGAAGCTACCTATGCCTACCCATTCAAGCGAAAGACAGTGGTCCCAACTCAGTTTCTGGCTGACCCAAGTGTTCCTTCTCCAGCTAGCCAGCAGCAAGGGCCACATAGCACCACACAAGGCCTGGCTCATAGCCCAGAGTCTAAATGTTCTTGGTTCCACAGGACAGAGAGTATGAGGCTTTGGGTGCCTCTAGGGAAAGATAATGAGCCAGCTGTGACCTTCCTTTGCATGTGGCCTTCTGAGCCACCCTGACCTGCCCCCCTTTTCAGAAGGCCCAGACAAGGCCAAGCCTTGCCTTTATCCCAGGATCCAGGGTACCCCAGGCAAGGCCACATCCTCCCTCACGATGATCTGGTTTAGACCTTTTCTCAGAGCATGCTCAAGTGGTGCCATCTTCCACAGCCCCTAAACAGAGATGACTCAAGTAGGCTTGCCTGGGTATTCATCAAAGGTAGCAGGGCCAGGTGTAAACGAGCATTCGCCTTTTATTTCCTGCTGGGGAACAGTCAGTTAACGGGCTGAAGGGCTTCCCAGGGTCAGTCCAGTCTGGCCCTTGCAGAAGAGAAGCTGGATCCAGAGTGAAGGGTAACCTTGCCAGCCAGTCCTGGTATTCAGGAGCAACTGGCTGACAAGGCGCTTGAGGGGTAGCCCAGTGACCAGGCTCCGTGACCCAGTGGGTGCCCCAAGATGTCTCTCCACTAGGAGTCAATGCTGCCAACCAAGCCAGCCTGCCAGAGCCCACGGTAGGCTCTGCAGGCACTTCTGTCACGGTCTGTGTTGGGTGTCTGGGTAGAAGCCCTATCAGTGTCCTGAGGCCATTCTGCTTTCATTGTTGACCTTTGACGTCAGGCCACCTGAGGACTATCGCACAGAAGTCTTTTCTCTGTTTTGAAAAGTGAGGCCGATGGGATACTCCCGGGCACAGGTGGGGTCCGACCTAGTTGCCAGGTTTCTCTCCCAGGGTTCTAGAAACCTCCCCTCCAGACAAGCAGGAGGTTCCAGCTCCAGCATTGGCCTAACCCTGGTGTTCTTGGCTTGTTTTCCACCCATTTCAACCTCGGGAAATTGCCAGATTTCTAACTGATATTACCCCGGCTAAATGCTGATAGTGGCCCACCTCTGAAGTTCATCTAGCGTCACTGTTCCCATCTTCAAAATGAATTACAATAGTGTCTGCTCCAAAAAGCTTCCGTTTGGTACAGTGACTGACCAGCACCGAGCCCAAGGATGGCCAGGAAACTGAGAAACAGAGACAAAGAGATGGAGACAGAGACAGGAAGGAGAGCCCACAAGCCACCCTCTTCTCTCTGCTCAGGGCCTCCTGCCCCTCCGTCCTTCCTCGTTCCCTCTCCTAGTGCCGCCAGATATCCAAGAGCAGACTTGCCTGAGCCCCCAACCTCCCTCTTGTTTGTCCACGCCTTGGTTCACCTTGGGCCAGAGAGCGGAGATGATGGGTCAGGCTACAAGGCAGGCACGAAACGGATCCTCTGGGAGTAGGCGAGGTCGACGATGTAGAGGAGCAGGTTGACGTAGGTGAAAATAGCTACCACCAACTGGCTGTCCCAGGGACAGCTGCCTCGGAGGCAGTCAGGGGGCCGCCCTGGCTCTCCGTACTTGGGGTCAAAGCAGAAGACCGGCCAGATGACTGCAGCACTGAGGTATAGGAGCACAGCCAGGAAGGTGTACACCACCACTAGGCGGTCAAATGGGCATCCCAGGCCCCCTGTGTGCCCCATCACGCTCAGGGCCACCACAGCCACCGTGGCCATGAAGCACAGGCTGTAGACAGCCACGCACCACTGCGTGGCCATGTAGCGCCCATAGCGGCTGTCGTGGACAAGTGCCCCGAAGATGATACAGGCCACAAAGGCTTGGACGATCTTGAGGAGCCCAGACACCGTAGCCATGTAGCTGGCTACCTGACCTGGCCGTGCCCGAGTGAGGGCCACTTCGGCAGCGTAGGCCAGGAAGAGGAGTCCTGCAAAGACGCTGGCTGCCAGGCGGAAGTTTCTGGCCATGCATCCGGCAGGCTCAGGTGGGCACTCCAGCCGGGTGAAGTACAGAGGGTAGATGACGGCGGCCGTGGCACACAGCAGGGTTGCCAGCATGGCAAAGGCTGCTGTGAAGTTGCCCCAAGATAGGCGCAGGCAGCTGTGGAGCCTCGTGAACTCACAGGCCACCACCAGGACTGAGAAAGCAAAACAGAAGCCCCAAGCAGCCATGCAGAAAGTGCCCTGGACACCCCCAAAACCACCTCGGTGAGCAACCAAACTGAAGGTGGTACAGCCGAAAGCCAGCTGCAGCACTCGTGCGGTACCCACAGGGGAGGTCACAGCGCCTAAGTGCAGGTAGGCCCCCCCGGGGGGCTCCATGGTGCTGCCCATCAGGTCCTCTACCTCCCAGCCTCACACAGTGAGTGCCCTGCTGCCCTGGGGTCTGGCCAGCTGAGAGACCTCTGTCTTCTGCGGCAGCGTCTGCATCGGCAGTGTTAACAGTGACTTTGCAGCAGGACAGCGTCTGCTGCCTGTGTCGGGAGCCCTGCCCCCCCCCCCCCGGGCTATAAATAAACAGCCTGATCAGAGCCCCGGAATAGCAGCCTGCATGCTGGTCCCCAGGCTGGAGGGACATCTGACCCCTGTATCCCACAAAGATTCCATGTCAGTTAGTCTACAGATGCTGGACACCCACCTCCTGCCTCTGAAGCACCTGCATCTGTCAGTCCCGGTTAGTAGAGTGTGGGGGAGGGGCTGGTTGAGAACGGAGAGGAGAGCATAGGGGGAATTATTTCAGGGTTGCATTATAGGCCCTTGTCACCTGGCCTGGCTCAACTCTGTCTGTCTGTCTGTCTGTCTCTCTCTCTCTCTCTCTTCCTTCCTTTCTTTTTTTTTTAGCAGATTAAAAATAGATTTATTAAGAAAATAATAAGACAGAACCCCTGAGAGTAAGAAGAGCTCCAAAGAAGAAATACCACACCAACTCTGCCTTTGTTGTTCATTATTTGTTTATTTATTTTGGAGACAGGGTCTCATGCGGCCCAGACTAACCTCAAACTCACTAAATAGTTGGGGATGACCTTGATTTTTTTGTTTTGTTTTGGCATTTCAAAATAGGGTTTCTCTCTATTACTTTGGAGCCTGTCCTGGAACTAGCTCTGTAGTCCATTCTGGCCTCGAACTCACAGAGATCTGCCTGCCTCTGCCTCCTCAGTGCTGGGACTAAAGGTGTATGCCACCACCACCTGGCTTATCTTTATTTATTTTTTAGTAATTTATTTATTTTTATTTTAAGAGCATTGGTGTTGTATCTGATGTATGTCTGTGTAAGGGCGCTGGATCCCCTGGCGCTGGAGTTATGGACATCTGTGAGCTGCCTGTGGGTGCTGGGAATTGAACCTAGGTCCTCTGGAAGAGCAGCCAGTACTCTTAGTCACCAAGCTGTCTCTCCAGCCCCATTTTATGTGTATGAGTGTTTTGCCTGTAGGTATGTATGTGTACCTTTTGTGAGTTTTATGGATGGTTATAAGCTACCTTGTGGGTACTGGGAACTGAACCTATGTCCTCTGCAAGAACAGCAAATGCCCTTAACCATGAAGCCATCTCTCCAGCACCTGAAATTCTCTAACATTCATTTGTTTGTTTTATGTGTATAAGTGTGTTGCCTACGTGTATGTATGTGCACCATGTGCATGAATGGTTCCTGTGGAAGTGAGGAGGCACTGAATCCCCTGGAGCTGGAGTTAGGATTGTTGTAAACTGACTACCATGTGTGTGCTGGGAATGGAACCCAGAGATCATCTGCAAAAGCAGCAAGTGTTCTTAAGCACTGAGCCATCTCTGGAGCTCGATGTTGGACAACTTCAAGAACTTTTCTTCTTCCTCTTCCTCCTCTGCTTCTTCTTGGTTTCTTTGAGACAGGGTCTCTCCAGGTAGCCCTGGCTGTCCTGTAACTTACTATGTAGACCAGCCTGGCCTTAGACCTAGAGAGATCTGATGTGTCTCTGCAGTGCTGGGAATAGAGGGTTGCACCGCACACCTGGCTAAGATTTACTTATTTTTGTTTTATGTCTATGAGTTTTTTTGCCTGCCTGTATATATTTGTACCAGGGTTATGAGCTGCTATGTAGGTGCTAGGACCCAGATCTAGGTCCTCTGGAAGAGCAGCCAGTGCTCCTAACTGCTCCCCCCCTTTTTTTTAATTTAAATTTACAACTACAGAAGTGGTGCCCGTTCAAGTCCAGTCAACAGGGGAAAATCCAGCCTTTTTACTTAGAGTCAATCATGGTAATATCTGCTGAGAGATCTTTGAGGTATTTCTTCGACTTATAAGTGGAAAACATCAAATCTACAGAAGAGTCAAAAAAAAAAATAATAAGCAACCAGCATCTGTGTACTTTCCACCTAGACTCAAGATTGAGTCTGTTTGATTGTTTGTTTTTGCAGCTGAAGGCAGAACACTGGGCCTCGGTGTTACCAGGCAAATGCTTTCCCACCGAACTCAATGGTCTGCAGAATAATTGCTAATACTTGGTGACTCACTTTCATAATCAATTAATTCTGTTAGTATGCCCACAGGCATCTCCTGAGCTATGCCCCTAGAGAACCCATTCAAAAATTTCCAGACAGAGGGTTGGAGAGATATCTTAACAGCTAAGAACACCACTTGCAGGGCTGGAGAGATGGCCTCAGTGGTTAGGAGCACTGGCTGTTCTTCCAGAGGACCCAGGTTCGATTCCTAGAACCCTCATGGCAGCTCACAACTGTCTATAACTTCAGTTCCAAGAGATCTGACACCTTCATACCAATGCACATAAAATAAAGTTAATATATATGTGTATATGTGTGTGTGTATATATGTATGTGTGTGTGTATGTATATATATATATATATATATATATATATATATAGAGAGAGAGAGAGAGAGAGAGCACCACTTGCTCTTACAGAAGATGGGATTCGATTCCCAGCACCCACATGGCTGCTCACAACTTACTGTAAATTCAGTCCCAGGGATTAGCCTCTGCTGGTACCAGGCATGCACGTGATGCAGGGATATAACTGCAAAACATATAGGCAAAACATCCACGCATATAAAATGCAAATAGATAAATCTACTAAAAACTGAAAATGGTTCACACTAAAAATGAAACACATTGTTGCTCAAGCTCTTCACTTGTTCTCAAGATTCACTTATTGCTCTTTAAGGGTGTCTGGCCAGATCGATCAGGAACTGGCATTGAACTTGACTGTAGTGGCTCACCGTGTTCTTATCCTGGAGTGGGATACCCCCTTGTTTTGTGCTTAGCGTCCCTTGTGGGGTATTCAGCAGAGGAGACTGCTCAGACATGGGTTTAAGTCCATAGAAAGCCTTTATTAGCTGGATAGCAACTACACTGAATGTTCCGGATCCCAGTGTAGTCCTGAGCCTTTCTCAGGGTGAGATTTTTAAGCACAAAAAGCATGTTCTGGGTTGGCGTACTTCAGTTAACAAGAACAGTTATCCAGAAATGGAGTTACAGAAGCCAAAAAGCAAGGTTGGTGCATTAGAGACTCTCCCAGAACTGTGGGCTTTGATGGATCAGGTCTTTGTTTCCATTTTTGGCAGGTGGTGCTGTCTGCATGCTGAGTCTTACAGCATGAATGGCAACTTCCATGGTGGAGTCAGTTGTACAGAGATCCAGGGGCCCAGTAAGGTCTGGGGCCCTGTTACAGTGACATTGGCCAAGCGCTTGAAGAAGTGTCCCTCGGAGTGTGCCATGGGACTATTTCCCCATGATTTGATGCCAAACCAAAAGCTTCTCACAGGGAGACCAAGGAGGGAAGATCATATGTGACTGAATCTCTGGACCACAAGGATGGAAGGGCTATCCTATTCATGCGTCCACCTACTTATTTCCCAACTGTCTTCCCAGGATTCTGAGCACCATGGATATTTCTCATAGAAAGTGTTCTCTGAGAATGGAGGCACACTGGCCACCAGATCTAAAATACTTTTTCATGAGATTTCTTACTTTTTTTTTTCTCAAGACAGGGTTTCTCCATATCCCTTCAGAGCCTATCCTGGAACTTGCTCTGTAGACCAGTAGACCAGGCTGGCCTTGAACTAACACCTGCCTCTGCCTGGCCCCCCAAGTGCTAGGATTAAAGGCTTTCTTTTATTGTTGTCGGGTTGATTATTGTGTTTTGTTTTTCTTATGATATTTCTTTCATTTTTTTCTTTTTTCTTTTTTTATCTTTCTTCTGTTTTGTTTTGTTTTTGTTTTTGGAGACAGAGTTTCTCTATATTGTTTTGGAACCTGTCCTGGAACTCGCTCTGTAGACCAGGCTGGCCTTGAATTCACAGAGATCCAAGTGCCTCTGCCTCCTGAATGCTGGAATTAAAGGTGTGCACCACCAACACCTGGCTTGTCATGAGATTTCTAAACATATTATGTGTTATTGAGTGATATGCAATCTTCACCCAGATATTAAGGCCTTTTTAAAATTATATACACACAGAAAGAGAATTTATTAGAGTGGTTTACAGACTGGAATCCAGCTAGCCCAACAATGGCTGTCTACCAATGGAAAGTCTAAGAATCCAGGCTGGATGTCTCAGCTGGTCTTCAGCATACACCAGAATCCTGAAGAAATAATCTCTAAGTCTGGTTGCCAGTGAAGAGAGTAAACAGGCAAAGAAAGGGAGTTTCCATCTTCCAAGTCCTTTATACAGGCTGCCACCCGAAGGTGTGGCCCAGATTAAAGGTGGGTCTTCCCACATCAAAAGATCTGGATTAAAAGTGGGTCTTTCCACTTAACAATGATTTAATTAAGAAAAAAAAATTCCTGCTGGGCAGTGGTGGCACACGCCTTTGATCCTAGCAGCACTGGGGAGACAGAGGCAGATGGATCTCTGAGTTTGAGACCAGCATGGTCTACAGAGTGAGTTCCAGTACAGCCTCCAAAGCCACAAAGAAACCCTGTCTTGGGGGAAAAAAAGAAAGAAAGAAAAAAATAAAAAATTCCCTCACACATGTATATTCAGTCACTTGAGTTTTAGTTAATTCCAGATGTAGTCAGGTTGACAGCCAACAATAGCCATCACATTTCATGCATGCAGGTGCAGGGAATCCAACACTGGTCCTCTTAAAGAACAACCAGTGTTCTTAATTGCTAAGCCATATGGGCAGCCTCTTTTGTTTGTTTGTTTGTTTTGAGACAGTGTTTCTCTGTGTAACAGTCCTGGAACTCCATTTGTAGGCCAGGCTGGCCTCGAACTCTTGGAGACCTGCTTCTGTCTCTAATGCTGGGATCAAAGGCGTGCACCACCTCTGCCTGGCTATGTACTGTATCTTTATGTGAGTGTGTAATGTAGGTATGGGGGCCTGCAGAGACTAGAAGAAAGCACTGGATCCCCTGAACCTGA